TGCAACAATAGCTTAATGACACTCCTGTTTGTCTGTCATTGTCCTTAGTTCGTACTTAAGTTGTGTGTCAGTCTGCAAGTGTCCAACGGGTCAGGGAACAAAAAAGATCCCTTCACCCTATCCCCGTGTTATTATGTGGATTATGTATATAGTTTCATCATGTTAATAATGTTATTGTGTAAAAATTACTTCGTATTAATTGTATGTTTAAATGTTAACATAACAATTTCATTTTTGTGTCATACGTTGAAAGTAAATGTTCAAAGTATACTTAAATAGCAAGGCCGCTTGTCGGGACCGCACAAGGATCAACTGCATCCAATTCACTCCACTTAAAGTCTAGTTGGTTGCCTTTTGCAACCTGTGTTGCACTCCAGCAAGATTAAGGCCCAAGGTGAATAGTCGATAGGCGTGTCCGGTCCTTAGTGGCGTAGCCAGGGGGGGGGGGCGTGGGGGGCGACAGCCCCCCCCCCCTGAAACCTCGTCGCCCCCCCCCCCCAGTCGCCCCCCCCCCCCCCCACTGAGATTTTGAGTTTCTAAAAAAATTATCATTGATCTACATGACGCCCCCCCCCCCATGAAATGTTCCAGCCCCCCCCCCCCCCCCCCCCCCGTGCCCCCCACTGAAAAATTCCTGGCTACGCCACTGCCGGTCCCCCAGCTCTTGATACTTCCTCCGGCATCACGCGTCCGTCACGACATCAAGAATCTGACGCGTCGACGGCAGACTGGGCTTTCATTCCTAGTAGCTGGCTGCGTGCGCTGGGCCGATCCTCGATATGCTGCTCCTTGGCAGACCAGCAAGAAAAAAAATGTTTCAACTCAATGACGTCATTCGTCTTGAGGAGGCTGATGGCAACGATTTCAAGAAAACCGACAACTGTTACTATTTGAATTTAAAAAAAAAATATTTTTCACCGAAATAACACTCCCCGTCAATGCTCGGAAGAACACTAGGATTTCTTTTGAAAATACATGACACCTTATTATGCATTAGATACACTGATTATTGATTGGAAGTAACTCGCAAACATCGCTGCCTTGTTTTAAAAGTGACTGAGTTGAAGGTTAATATAATAATAACTTTAGAATCACAAACTAATTTGTGTTTGTTCACGCCGGGATGAAAGTGCATGGACGTATCGTCTTCATTAATGGACTCGAACGAACATTGGCTGTTGTTTGGTTTGTTTTGTTTTGTCATGGTTTGTTTTGTTTTATTTTGTTTTTGTTTGTGTGTTTTTTTATTTTACATTAATTATCATTAATCATTAAACGGGCTTGGTGTGCATAATGCATGCAGTACGCCGCCGTTGCACTGGCAACGGAAAGTAGTTGATAAAGTTACGTCACATGGGTTATTGAACTTTTTGCCAGCCGCTGGTGTCCGTGCAAATGTACGTCCGGCTACGTAGGCAATTACGGCAAAACTTTTGCCATACCAGTCATCAGACAGCAAAATGGCAACATCGAAGATTTAGAGTCGTCCGCTTACAAAATTTGACCATGAAATGTTTCGATTTTAACTAACGTAGCGATGTAGTTTCTGGAATACAATCGATTATGTGTAATCGTATGAATAGGAAAAATGATTGCTACTAATAAAGGTAAGAAGACGAACCGAAAAATATCGATTTAAAATAAAGTCACCTTGCCAAACAAACACGTAGAAATGAATGGCACCCCATGCATACATACATCGAGTGTGGAACCATGTGCACAAGGCATGCAAAGTTGAAGTGTTGTCTGTTGATGCCTTGACAAACGTTAGTTTCCATATTATTATTGGAAATTATATTTTGAGAAAGATGGTACCCAATAGTGAAATTTGTTTTGTCATGAACTGTTTTAATGTAGAATTATTCATTTGTCAATTATTGGCAATATTGTGGCCAGATTGCAGATGTCGAGTCTCGAGATATCCAATTGGACGCACTGTCAATTATCGACGTAGAAGTAGAAGTGGCATATATACCATGGAAAAAAAATGGATTATAATTATCTGGTTCGTAAATGTGATGTCATCTCAATTCAACCATGCGTACTTCACACAGTGTAGCATTGCATGTATGGAACCGGAAGTTAATGAACCTGAAGGCTTTAGGGGGGCGGGGCCTATCATGTTTATCCAATGGGTGCTAGTTAGCTGTACTGAGTGGAGCGCTAGAGTAATTGAAAAAAATGTTGCAACCTGACGCCACTTTTTTCTTCATATATCATCTCAATGAAGGTCATTCATTGCAAAAATGATGAAAAGAAAATGAAATGAAAGTTTTTCTCTTTTTTTCTAATTTAATTTAGCGCCTATTTGCAATATATTTTCAAAACATATTGTCAGTGGGCCTACATTGTCATTTTGTTTCAAACAGAATTCTTTGGGCACAATTTTGTATCAGCAAAAGAGTCCCAAAAAGTAGAATCAATCCACAATCTTCCAAAAAGAACCCGCATTTTTCATTTTCTTTTAAAGCCTGGACGAGAATGTTTTGGGTTTTTTTGCTCTACCTGAGTGAATATTAATGAAGAGTCAAGTGTATTTCTCAAGAAAAATTAGTCTCTTGAACTTTTTCTGTTGTAGAAAGGTTTTCCACTTTTTAAAAATAAATGGAACAGTGAACTTTGCTCAATCTTTAGGCCTAGTAATACAACCACACTGTTGTACTTATTCTTAAAAAAGGAATAATCAGATTTGTCAGGTACTTTGTTTTTATTATTATGGTAGTGTGATTTGTCCATGGTATTTAATCAATAACCATTCAGTCTGGAGTGTTAATAATTTGAGCTGCAACAGTATTGTGCTACATTTACGTCAAACAAAGCCAGAAAAATTCTAAACGAAAAGAAATAATGGTTGTGAATAATGTTAGATGTAATGTGCTTGTACCGCTTGACATAAGATTCAACATGGTTCAAAACTTCTTTTTCTTTTTATAGACATTCGAGAAACAGACAAGCTTTTCAAGAAGCTCGTTGCGCCGAGTCTCAGTAGATTTCACCTGGACTCCCATATCCATCATCATGCGCCCGTTAAGATGGGCCCTGTCCTGCTCCCGCATCGGTCCAGCGGCCACGGAGCACCACAAACCTCCAATGCAACTCACAGCGTCACTAAGCCTAAGAGCATGCGCGCACCGCCCTCGACAGAGATAACGCTGGATGAGTCTTTGCTGAGGATCGGTGGCCGGGCAACCAGCAGTGCTGTCGACTTTGACGAGAGCTTTGCACAGTCTGTAAGTTTATCCGGCGTGACCTCAAACCTAAATCTTTCAGACTTCCAGACATTAACCCTAACCTCCTAATGTTCGTATGAACCTCGCTGAATCCACCAGAATACACAATTGACCTATCGCCGTTTGCGAGTTAGCCACGCCCCTTCGACAACCCTATGGAATTTTTGTACACTTATTTTTGTTTGTCACAGATGTTGCGCGTAATTCCACGCCCATTTGTTTATCCTGTAATTGGACAATATTTCACTAGCTGCGTTGACGCAATCTTTTCGCGATAGGTCAATTGTGCAGGAACCCAATTCTAGGATAGTGGTAGGCCTATATTCTTCGTACTTTTATCTTTCAATGGACATAAAGTCTGATAAAAAATTATGGTGGCAGCTAATTCTTTTGTGACTTTTGATAGATTTTTTAGGGATCTGGGAAGATTTTTCGTAACATTCATGATTATGTTGGGTTGTGTATGTGCATCACAAATATTTACAGAGCACAAAGTTTGGTTGTCGGTAAAAAATATCATGCAGATATGGCCCATTGCTTTGAGGAAATTCAGTTGAGCAAATTATATGCTGAAGCATTTTATTTAGCTGAGCATGTCTGTGAAATCATGGAGGTAAATTTGGCCCAGTTTCATTGGAGTAGGCAGTGTTACAACTCACTTTACTTCAAACATACAGAGGGGGTATATCACTCGTTAGGAGTAAACATTCAAACTATAAAAGATTGGGAGTGCTTTCCACAATAGTTGCCATGAAAATGTTGACACAGGCAGTGTCAAATTTCCACTCCTCTTCGAAATTGCCCAAATAACCACTTAGACTAAACTTTGCTTTGTGTGCCCCAGAAACCAAAGTGCTTGGTTGTCCCAGTCGGAATGGCATACACATAAACAGTTTATGCAAACGAACAATCACATGACGTGTATATTAGCCAGTAGGAGTGGCTGACAGGCTAGCAACGCTCAAGTACTTGATTCTTCTTTTTTCGCAAGGAGGGGCAAAAGGTGTTTGTAGAATAGTAACGTTTCAACACCTGCGGGATTGTATTATAAGGACAATGAGTGGAACCAATACACAATGTATAATGTAGTGGACATGATCAGAAATTAAAGGATTTTTTTTCGTAAATAGCATTCCGTGAAGAAAGTTTTCTCGCAATGAATGGACAAACACAAAGTGAACAAATAACTGAGATAAAAATGAACTGAGTGATTAAAACAATCAGGTTTTATAATAAGGTTGAATAATTTGAAACAACTCTAACAAGTTTTTTTCCCTTTCTGGCATTTAGTGTATTAATAATAAACTTGGTGAAAAGACACACAATTATTTTAATTTCCTTCAGTCATATTATATCTTCAATTTATTTTGAGAAAGATCCAGGCAAAATTTCAAGCCATCTACTTATAATAATAAACTTCTTCAGTGATTTAATAAAATACAACTAAGTTGTCCTCGGACATGTTGAAACGATCTCCCATCTATTAGCTTTACAGATTGCCTTGATTGCAAAACACAAAGTCTAAAATTATCCAAATAGTAACCCAGCACATTCACCACCTACTCCAGTCTCCAAAATTAGCTTCTGGAAAAGCTCAATCCCAAACAGTCATGTTTTCTTTGCCCCAAATCTCAAACACAGAAAACAACAGAGTCCAAACATTCTCACCCCAGGCACAAAATATTGACATGTGTGACTTCATTCCGCAGCTTCATTTGCATGACAATTTGCTTGGTGTGGCAAGGACTGTCTGGGTAACATCAAAGAACATGTTTGTGCTTCTTTTGAAGCAGATACTCTTTGTTGTCTCGTATTGATTTTGGGATTCACTGTGTGTTGCTATGTTTGAGACCACATTTATAACTGCCCAGTCAAGAAAGCAAGCAGTAATGAATAGTGTTGCTCTCTTAGTGAATAGTGTTGCTCCCTCCCTAAGTGAATGTCTGATTGACTTCAGGCTTCCCATTGAGGTGTTAAGATGTTTCAACACAGACGGTGATTGCTCTGCTGGAATATACCTGGGGCGTGCCTGACTACCTGTCAACTTGATCTAAAAGATTTTTGTGGCGTTACCGGCAATTTGTGACAACACAGCTTTTTTTAATCCGGCAAAAATATTGGCTGTTGTTTACACATCCCAGTGGATTAACATTGATTTAGACGTTCTCAATCGGAGGAACCAACGTTAGCCATTTTTCAAAGAAAAAACTTTAAGATTAACAGTTTGGAGAAAGAATTGTGAATTTGGAAGTTGGCTTCTGGACATTATTTTAACTATGGATAGAGAAATTTCTACCTTCATTCCTGACATGCTGTAGTATCTCACAGGATGTTCCAAGCATGTAAACGAGGATTGTGTCGTCGCGTTGTGGAAACTACATGCAGCACAGTTGTTCTTAATCAGGATTGCAGAATGTTGCATCTACAATACCCATCCTGAAGGTTAGACTCAACGTTTCCTTTTGAAACCTTGTGATGATATTGAAGCATCTGACTCAACTCTGTGGAATATAAAACCAGCAACGTCGATACCAACTGTTTCAACCATGTCAACCATATCGGGATCCGCCTCCCCAAAGCTGCCCTCGGTGCGCTTACAAAGGGACCGGTCTCGATCTGCGCTTTCTCAGAGAGCGCCCTCTGTTGTCAGCAATGACACGCAATCTGCATACAGTCAGAGGACGCAGAGCATGTTTGTGCGGAAGCTGGGAATTCTTATGGCCGAGCACTTGGCAACCAGGCACGAGTTGTATCAAAAGGTTTGCAGGAACCCGTTTCACTGTTTGAAGGTTTTTGGCTAGCAAATTTTTTTCCCATCCTGCTCCCAATTGTTATTTATTTGTGGTGATTCTAAATTCTGTTGCATCCAACAGTGACACAGCCTGTTTTTTCTCCATCATGTGTGTCCTGTAAATATGTGAAACTGGAAATGGAAAATGGAAAAGAGTTGTGTCAAATAATTTGTCGGTCACACCACGAATTGATGTATCGTGTGCACAAAATCCATAGATGATACTTCACTTCACGGTGTGTCCGACAAATTTTTTCGACAACAAATTTTGTTAGAGTAAATCCATTAACAAACAAGCTATTTAGTGTAGTTGTAGTATTTAATTTCAATTTATATTCAAATTTATTCTATGAATTGTGACAATATCCATTTTCACAAACGTTTGATTTCTATGTTAACCAGTCGCATCGGAGGACGTGATAACACGCACTGGCTGTCTTAATACGCAGGCACAGCTGACAAGTGAAAACGTGAAGATCACCTCGACTCCTTTCCGGGTGACGTCTTAACACGCTAATCCCTCGTGCCTTTTGTTGATACACACAAAGTCCGTGAAGTCTGTGGAGGCAGACGGTGTGTTGATCTTGAATTGGCCGTTGTGCACGGCCTATTGTACAATTTACGTTCCAGTGCCCACCCCGGAGTATTGAACCATATGAGGTTTTGGCAAGAAATATCGTACAAATAACTGTTGAAATTACTCTTAGCGAATCAGTGTTTGTGGTGTTTGGCTGTATATTTGGCTGGAAAATTATGCCCTTTGCAAAAATTGAAATTTTCGGCAAAAATAATGCCGGTACGAAGTGGTTAAATGGCATAATTTTTTCCCCATTCTTGTATGTATATTTTCAGTATCATGCAGCATCGGGGGGAAATCTAAGAAGACAGCATCAAAGGGCAGGAACATCAATGTCGTCAATAAGGTAATTCACAGAACATGTGTGCATGATGATCAGAATTTGCCTTTCTGTTCTCAGACGTGTGAGTTCACTTTGGAGTTTTTATTGAATTTTGTTGAAAATTAAACGGTGCATGGGTCAGTGTGTTCAGGTGGAACTCTGCAAATTGACAATTTTTGACATTATTATTTCTAGTAATTAATAATTGGGAATTGCTAATGTACTCGAGGTTTCACATGGGTGGTGGAGTTTTTATCTTTATTGAAATTAAAATTAGATAAACCGGCATAAAGAATTTAAAGCTGGTATTGGCAAAAATGTATAATTAATGTATAATTAAACTAATAAGTTTATGTAATTTGTGCACTTTCTTTCAAAGTTAACTTTTACTAACCCAGCAAAAAAAAAAGCTCAACAATTTTTTTTAATCCTCCCTTTGGTATTTGGAAAGGAACAAAAGTATGTTTTTCTTAATATTGTTAGCATGGTGTGATTTCAGCTTGCTGTGTTAACAGTTATGCTTTTTATTATTGCCACTTGCCACTGGTGCATGAAATCCATTGTCTTTTTTATTTTTTATCATCTGCATTGCTTTCCCAGCTGCACGGCTAGTGTGCCTTGGACATTCTAGTGAGTAGCCTTACTCGTTCTATTTCCATTGCGCTTTTTATTTAAAATAGGAAAGAATTCCCACTGTGCAACATAAATCAACGAAATATGTAATTTGAAATATTTCAGGAACTTTTTTCTTGTATTGAAGAAGCAAACATTAAGTTAAATTTGATACAGATAGAGTTTTGTACTTGGTGTTTAGCCAAAATATGAATCAAGAATTTTCAAGAAATTTCAAGATACATTATTTTGAAACAGCTTAACCATCTGACTAGCTTATTAGAAATGTTGAACTCTGATTGAAATGTAATCTGTTTCAGCATTAAGCAAGGTTCGACCTTAATAGTGGTACTCTGCTCAACAAATGTGAGTAAAAACAGCAGTGGACTAGTCAAAACCATTCCCTTAGTAGTCCGTTTGACAAGTCAAATTATTGTAAATAACATCGTTGTTTAAGACATTCTGGTGCAAAACGTAAAAAATTCTATTGCGGACTAGTCAAAAGGCCCATGGACTAGATAAGAGTCTGGCTGGCTAGTGAAAAGTTGTATCAAATTATCAAATTTGTTGCAATTTCTATCCACGCCTTTTCCTCCAAAGTTCCACAACCAAGATGAAACAGCTTCCCCTGCCCCAGCTGCAGAGCTCTGAGGTCCTGCGAGCCTCATCACCTAGCCCAAGGGGGAAGAGAAACGTCAGTGTCTGCTCAGAGAGATATCTGGGGACATCCGTGGTTGGTCAGCCTCAACATCGCAGGTCAGTTTAGAAAGTTGTCCTGTAACAAGTCAAATTTTCATTTGTATTTGTTTTTGTATATCACAATTGATTACAATCTTATTACAACAATAACTATGCATAGTGATAATGCAGAGACCAGGAGAAAGACAAGCCTTGTGCAAGGCCTGGTTCTTACAAGTTTATTTTTACGCTCATTTTATTCATATAAAAAAAAAAGGTAAAGATCCCATAGCCATTACTTGCCGTAGGGGCAGTGGGATGTTAGAGATCCACTGTGTCTTGGGCGTGGCATATGAGTGGCGGTGCCCAGTCCTCTCCTCTCGCCGTCTTACCTTCCCTGAACGAATCAGGTACCCATTTTTCTGTTGGGTCGTCAGAGAGAGTTTTCCCGTTTTTGGTCCGAATGGGATTCAAACCGCCAACCTTCCACTCTGTAGCTCCACGCTCTAACCGCTCGGCTACAAGGCCCCTCTATTCATATAAGGAGAGTACATAATCAAAAGAAACGATAATTTTGTAAGCCAGGTTTACAACTGTTTATATGCCAGTTATGGTAGCCAAACCATTTAATTGGAAAGGAAAAAGGACAACACAGTAAAGACGTCCACCATATAGGTATCAGGTTTGTCTGAATCCTTTAACTGCCCCATTGAGCTTGAAAGCTTAGTAAGTTAAAGCTATAGTCCATCATTTGTAATTAGTGCATTTTGTTCGTTTGAAGCAACAAAAGTGTTCAAAATATAATGAAGGATACTAAACAACTTACTTGATGAAGTTTCAGCTCAGCTTCAGCTTCATATTCCGAGAAAAACAGCATTCTAGGATCTCAATTTAAAATCAAAAGTTGCTAAATCATGTTTCGAATTGTTTTGAATTGCAGCTTTACGCGATGTTGCGCACTGATCCAACAAATTATAGCAACCGCGCGCGCCTGTGCGTCGTTCCAATGTTTGTGCGCGCTGCGCCGAATAACAAAAAGAAAAACTAATTTAAATTTTCCTACGGTGCTTCTTAAGAAGCACCGTTGGAAATGCCTTTTTTCGTTGATTTCTTCAAAATGAGAGCTTGCCAGAAAGGATAATTTCACAGGGAGTTTAGTCCCCTTACTATCTTTCAACCAGTATGTTTTTCAACAATAATTACGCCGGTTACTTTTTTGGATAGCTGCAAATGATGGACTTGGGCTTTAAGGACCAATGGGCTTCATGCGCGAACAAGAGGGCGCATTTGACTACATTGAGGGCCCAGTGGACAGGACACACTATGTGCGCCCATACTGGTTCACGCCCATATAGCATGAAGTAGGTGCCACTCATTTTTTTCTGAATTTACATTAAGTCACAGTGTCTTCGTATGAGCGTCAGGCCTCATCGGCAATGCGTTCAAGTTTCTCTCAGAGTGATTTCTCCCAACTCTCCCTTTCTTACCGTTGAGGAGCACTTGTGCACGGAGCCCAGATAGTAGTCCAGAGGTTGCAGGCCCAAATCCATCTAGAGTCAATTTCCTTTGTTCATTTTGTGACAGAAGTAAATCAGCCGCTGAGATTCTGCATCCGATATCGTCCAACGCATCTACCAGTGATCAAGTCAGACGGTTTGAGGAGGAGAGGATGGCGCTGTTACAGACTAGGACACTCAAGAGGAGCACTGAAGTTAGTTTGATTCAAGAATATGTTTACGATCTGTGAACCATGACCTGGACTCTGAGTTACATTGTAACTCTGACTTGTCTCATTCAAGGCTTTCAAGACTTTTAACCAAGTCGTCACAAGTTAATCAGTCTCAAGTACCCATAAAAAAAACCCAACCCTAAAATTAAAATCCCAGAAGTTGTCTGAAGGGCTTTATAGCTTTGCAGTTTAAACTGCAACTTTCACGAGCAACATCTTTCGTGCCTTAAAGTGCACATAAACGTGAAATCTGCACTGGTCTACCATGTAGCCTAGTTTTCATTTTGAAAATTCTCCACGAAGCGCATTCAATACCTTTCTCTTACATTGTCTCAGAAGTTGCTAAGTAATTTGCAAAATTCGGTATGGTACCCAATCCCATATTCTGGAACCGGTTACTGACATCAGCGGTCAGGTACACGGGAACCTGGTTCCGATGCACAACCCCATTGGGAAAAAGTCAATTACAACTCTTTGGCGTAGACTCAAGTTGCATTACAAACATTTTATCAGACTTGATCTGTTGGACTTTGACTATAAGCCACATCAAAATAACTCGGCTGAGGCCGGTGTTGTGTGAAAGTTGGACTTTCTATGAAATACGAACTCAGGGTTGTATTACGCTTTCCTTAACATACATAATTAGGACAGTGACAGTTCATTTGTGAGGGTTAGGGTTGGTTCTTGGTTCTTAGTTGGTTGTTCTCCTCAATACTCTGTGTGGGAGTTTATACAGGAGGCCAGAAACACCGGGGCAAACCCCTTCTCTTAGGGATAAGTGTCACTGAATTCTTTTGCATGCATTGCATTACACAACACACGGAATATACGGCTTTACGTCCCATCTGAAGGATGAAGCAATAAGTGCCTTGCTCAAGGGCACAAGTGTCCAGACCCGGGCTCGAACCCATGCCACTGTTGCCTCAGAAACACCAGAGCATGAGTCCGGTGCTCTTAACCGCTAGGCCATGACACTTCACATAAAGCAACAAAAAAAAGACTAGATTTCGTGGAAGACTGAATTTCATATGACACAAGCAGTAACACATGTCTGTGGCTGCTTATTTCTCCCTGTGTTATGTGATAATCTGTGTAACAGGTTATGGCACACCGCAAGGATAGAAAATACCACATGTGTGGATCAGGAGTGTCAATCCACGACCGCTACATGGTGGACAGCGATGAGATGGATCGGTTACGGCAGCTCATCCAGGCCAGGTCAACCAAGAGAGGCAGGTAAGGTCAAAGGCTAGAGGTCAATATTTCAATATTGATGTCAATATCCACTGTTGTGAATTCACCAGGAGTCTCATTGCTGATCCCCAAAACTTGCATTTTGCAAAAGTAATAAATGTGCAGCGTTGTGAATGTTAAGCAAGTCTGCATTTAATTTTGCACTTGTAATCACAAATAATGCTCTCCCAAATCGGTACTATTCCCATGTTGATCTTTCATACAGAGACGGACAAAATATTTTTGGCAGGAAGCCTCAAACTCTGTTATATTCATTTGGTACTCACTGTGGCTAGGCCAAAAAAAAAAGTCTCCAGTTTCTGGTATGCGCGCGCGTCGCTGTAGCCATGCGCGTCGGCAAAATGAGAAAGTTTTTTTTTCCAATGAAAGATGATGTCTCACAACCACCAAACTCACTGGTTTGACTGGAATCCTGCTGCTGCACAATTTTAACGTGTTTTTAGATGGGTTTTGATCGAGTATAAGCTTTATGTGGCCTCTCTGGACTCCCATATATTTGCACTAAGTTTAGTCGGGCACCATTTGCAGTCATCAGCCGACATTTGAAGAAGAAAAAAACGGTAAAAAAAAAAAGCTGCATCGCCGCACCACCTTTGGGGCAAGCTCCATACCAGAAACCGAAGACTTTTTTTTTTGGCCTTAGCTGCACGCTGAATACTGATCTGTTGTCACTGCTGATATGAGTGCTATGCTTTGTTTAGAAGAAAAAAGATCGGGGTGCCCAAGCTGGCAAATGACACTCCTTTGACAACAGATAAAATAGGTCTCTCTCAAATGACGTAATTTCCTACAGACCGGCCATGTGCATCAGCATTTTGAGCGTCAACTTGCATAACACACATCGGCTGCGTCGTATTTCAAACACATTTCGAGCAACAAGCGCGCATGTTTGGAACATTTTCAACACTGCGCAATGCCGTGCTTGATTGCGTAAAATACGCAGTTGCAGTTCTCCTACAGATGGCCGTCTTTGAGAGAGACCTATTAAGTGCCTCGGCACCTCAATGAAGCATGTAAAAGAGTTAAGGTTATACACCTGTTGTGTATTCTAATCAAGAACACTTAATTAGTTAATATGAACAAAAATGACAGTTGATAGAAATGCAAGAACAAAGGCTTTATCTAGCACTCCTAGTTTATTGACTACTAGTATAAATGGTATAACTGAAAAGCATGGTTCATTATGCCTGAATTGTTATATTTGCAAAGTAAATAGTTCCTCATGCTCTTAATTGTAGAGCTTGTAGACACCAGAATATAGTAGATGATATTAAGCTTTATCTCTTTCTGTGCATTTCTAAGTTGTTTTCTTTAATATTGTTGATTTCTTTAGCATTACCCCTAACAACTAGATCCCATTAGTTATGTATTGCGTTTATAATTGGATGAATGCATTCATTCAGTTAAGTTGCATGTTATTTGCATGTGTCATTATTCATTTATTTGCATGCCTCGTATCTGATTGGTCCTTTTGCACCACATGATCATGTACATCATCAGCTCTCCAGTCAGCTACTATGGCAGATATGGAGTCAGGGTTACCAGTGGACATGGTACTCGGCAGGTAGGTTGCAGGTGTCTGTCTTAGTCATTTACCCATTCAGAATTGTACTTGTGCATGAGAATGACAATAATTTGAAGTATTCTAGAGGTTTTCCATTTATTACGAGGCTATTGTTTGACAAGATTATAAATTATGAAACTTAACATTTCTTTCTACTGTCCCAATGTCTTAAATTGTCACCTTGTTAACCTAAAGTCACTGACTATTGTTTGTTTGGTAAAATCCTGAATCCTTCAACTCTTCAAAATCCATCACTGGCACATATATGTACCTGATCAAAATTGGAACATCAAACCCCCCCCCCCCTTTCATATTAAAACCCTAACTCCCCAGCCAAATTTACTAGGAACCATACCCATTCAGGCAAATTCCAACACCCACATGGGAAATTGTACACACACACTGTTGGACTTAGTTTCTGGAGGTATGCCAACCCCAGTGTAAAAGGCCATCAGTTTAGGGGTACTGTACCTATCCCAACAGATTTAAACACTAACCTACTGTTGGAGTTTGATTGGTTATGGGCTGTTAGGGTTAAGGAATGGTTTGCCGGGCTGAGCCTATAAAAATAATGCAAAACCTGATGTTGGACTGGAGGGGGTTTAGATTGTCATTTTTAAGTGTAAACGTTATATTTGAGTCATTCGTTATAATTAGGGTCCAAAGTGTGACATTTTTCCTGTCCCTGTCACCTCTAATTTGCCATTCAAGTGTCATTAAAAATGACTTCCAACTAAATTCCATTTGTTGGGTAGATTGTTTGTATAACTTAATCACTCTTGGAGGAAGAATACATTAAGGAATGCATCCAGAATTACAAAAATGAAATTTTGAATGAAACAAAATGAAATGAAACCTGAAATTTATAGAATGACCCATTTAGGTGTACACAGCTGATGACAAGTCCACCTGTTATTAGAGACAATGTAATGCATGTCATATTGTTTTCTTAACAGACAAAGCCTTCAACAGCCACAGAGGAACAAAAGGAGCAACAAGGTAATGACATAGACTCATCTCAGATCCCCATAGAAACCAATGAGAATGAAAACAATGTTGCCGTAGCAACGCCAGCTAACGAAAATGGGAATGACGCCATGGCTGCACCCACAGCAGTCACTGATGAGGAAGATGGAGTTAAAGAAGATAATTTGGCCGTCGGTGAAGTTGATAGAAAAGTGGATGACAGTGAGGTTGCTGCCAATATGGTAAACATTGAAAAGTCTGGTGGAAAGGAAGACCAAAAAGAGGTAAACACATCAGAAAATGCAACCTGTGAACTAGACAACCTAGACCACATTTTACCAGTTAGCAATGACGAAAGCCTGGATGTCGACCAGCCAGTAGAGGGCGCCTTAACACAGACCAAAGACGATGCCCAAGAAAGCCCAGAATCGGAGACCAAGGCTGATGGGTCACATGGAAGAGATCCGAATGTCAACCCAGACGCACATCCTGATGAGAACACTAAAGAGGAAGAGGTACATGGAGCAGCAGGCATTGGGGAGGATAAAGAAGTTATTGGATCTGAAGACGTATCGGAAGGATTGAGGGGTGATGGTGGTAGGTTCCGTGTGGCATGCCCTGGTTGCTGTGATGTCAATGAAGCTCTCCTGGTGTCACGGTTGACTTCGTTGATGATGCACTTTCTCCTGGTGTGGACATCTTTAATTAATCTTTGTTTGCATGTCTTTGTTTTTTTGCACCTTTGCAATAGTTCGAGGCACAGACCTGCTTGTGTGTTTGATCCAATTCTTCTGAGAGTTTTGCATGAGCGTGTTACTTCTTGCATGACAGTGTCTTTTTGTTCTGTTTAACAACAAGTTTCATAAATGGTGTATTAACAATTTACATTCACGTTCTGCAAGTTAACATGTAACCTTCACGTTAATTTCACTGACTCTAGATTTGTAACCCAACACATTGTATTTTTGAAACATACTATTTTTGTGTCAACTACATGCTTTTTGTTCATTCTGTTCTATTTTCCCTCTTTTTCTTACAACTTTCTGTTCAAGAGACAATTCTGTTTGCTTTTATGTTTGACTTTCTGTTCCTTGAGGGTGTCTTGTTCCTAAAACTCTCTTCTTCATCAGTGTATATTTTCTTATCTCAGACCTTCCTCAAATCAGACATTAACATTAACAAAACAAGTTTCTTTTGCTTTACAAATTCTTTTCCTTACTGTCGGTATCATATTTTGTAAATATCCTAAGGCAAATCTATAGAAAGGAAAAATCCATTTTCCATTTTATCAAATTGTGAATTTAAAATGTCTTCAAATTGATCACATTTTGTTTTTTTCTCGTGATAGATAACAGTTCTGCTAATGCAGAAGATATGGAGGTACAGGAAATACAAAAGTAAGACTCCAAACTTATATTTTATTGATTTTTTCCAGTATTGTAGTACTCGTACTCGGTACTCGTACTCGAGTACTACTCGAGTACTTTTTTGGAGTACTCGTACTCGTACTCGAATGTCAAAGTACTTGTACTCGAAATGACAGTACTCGTACTCGGGCAGCAAAGTACTCGTACTCGACATGTCGAAATTGTACTCGATCATCAAAGTACTCGTACTCGAATGGCAGTACTCGGGGGGGAAATGGTGTAGCTTGACTATATACCACAGACTTATGTTATCAATACTTTCAGTTTGAAATGGTTGATTGGCTTGTGAAGAAATCGAAGTTTCCTGATTTTCCTCTGTGCACGTCTGAACAAAGACATTTAACAGCTAGCCATGAGTGGGTCTGTATATCAATTTGACTGGGCCTGGGCCAATTACGCACAATGAACCATTTGCCATATGGCCGTATTCGGAAATACAAGTACTTGTACTCGTACTCGTACAAGTACTTGTACTCATTTTCTGCTTGTGGAATTTTTGTATATTTCATGGAGGCAGTAAGCAGTAATTTTAAAAAATGTGTTTAAAATTCAAAGAAAAAAGTCTCATCCTGGCATGTTCTGCTCATGTCACCGCCTCAACTTTATTGTTTCCATTGCAGCATGATGCCAAATGTGAGGATTTCCAAGAAACTGGCAAAGAAAAGTGGGAAAGAGTGAGTATATGACAGTATTATGTTACTGACGAGAGCTTGTCTATGGGTTAGTCCTCTATTTGCAAGAAATGAAAGATCCAAAAATATCATTGATCCAACAAGATTGCCATTGGAATATGATTCAATATATTGAAAGGAATAATTTGCAACAATGAAATGGATGCGCATTGATTTGTGTACACAATCCTATTTCACCATTACTGTGACATTTTTGTTCTACAAGTACATAATTGTAAAGTTTTCAACGCATCACTGAAGGTGATTGCATTGCGTGAAACCTTACAAAATCAAGCTTTGGCAGCTCTAAGAAACCCAGCCAAAGTGAAAACCAACCAAGGTAATGGGCAACTTGGATACCTCTGCATGGGTACATTTGGGAACTAACAAAGACGCAGCTTTGATGCTTTGTTAATAGGATTGTACAATTTGATCCATACAGTGCCTTCATGACAGACTTTGAGACCTCAGATGCAGCCGGCGACGACATTCAAGACATGTTTAGCAATCTCAAGCCTGATCACCCCACCTCCTCTAATGGGACAAATCAAGAAGACACTGACGCATCAAGACGAGGGTCCTCTCAAGAAGGCCCTACCCAGGAGACATCCCAGGAATCGCATCATCCGACCGCCGAGGAGGCCCTTCTTGGAATGCTAGTCAGCGATGATAAGATCGCAGCCATGGAGGACAGTCTAAGGAGACTCGACCGTCTCAAAGGAGGCATCCAGGATGTCGGACATCTTGAAGAATCAGAACTAAACCTCGAGGAGCTCAACGCCAACCAGCATGACGTCGATTACGGGGAGGAGGTGTATGGGAAGGTCTTGAATGACGAGGAGTTGAAGGAGATTGAGAGATTGAGGGCTGAGAAGAGAGAGGCTAGGAGCGCTAAGTCTAGGAAAGGAGACGATACCATCATGGCCGAGGCTAAAGTGTCGCAGGCAAAATCCAAGGTAAGTGGATGGATTTTTGAGAAATTTGTTACATTAAATAACAATGTTGTATCCAGAACAAAATTATATGGGAAGGATGGGGGCATGAAGACAGTGGTGCAGAGTAAGAGGGTTAGCGCAGCCCGGCTGTAGCTCTGGTAGAGGGTGCTGTCAACAAAATGAATGAAATCCAGTCTTCGAAACTTTGGCTCATGGACCAGGGAAATTCCAAGCATACCTTTAATGGCACGCAAGAGCATTAGCTTGAACTTGGCATGTATGAACTTGGCCAAAATTCAGTCAACTGAATTTGATAGTGCCCTCTGCCACCGGGCTTACCATAGACCAGCTGTATTAGAGAACATAATCTAAATCCAGTCTTGTGGAAAGACTACTCTCAGGAACGCCTTTTTCATTACCAGGAATTAAAACAAAATAATTTGAAATATATCAATTTTGATCTTTCCTTTTCCAGATGGCCGACATTTACAATTTCATCAGCCCCGTGCAGCAAGAGGTGCTCGAGAAGAAGTTTCAAGAGTTGGACATTGATGGCAACGGCGTCATCACGCTACAGGAGCTGTTCAAGAGGATGTATCGGGGCAGAGCCAACAAAGAATTAGGCCGAGCTTTCATGCAGGTAAGGAAGTAACAGTTGTAGGAATGCTGAAGAAGTTTACAATTTGTTTTAACCCAAGCCCCTTGATATTTGACTAAGCAACATCCTGAATCCACCAAATTCCCACATAATTACAGTAGCACAATTGCCACATTGACCTCTAACTAAAATTACATCATCATCATCATCATTGTCGGTTTTGAGGCTGTTGTCCAGTCTGTTCTGGGTTGGCCTGCTTTCTCCCTATGGCGCTCCTCCACAGTTAGAGGGTAAAGGTTTAAACTGCTCTCTATAGGGGAATGGATACACTTTTCTTTAACCCTAACTCCCTAGCATGATTTACTAGGAACCATACCCATCCTGGCAAATTCAGCACCATATGGGAAACTGCACACACATATTTCTGACTTAGTTTCTGGAGGTGTGCCAACCCAATGTAAAGACTGTCAGTTTAGGGGTACTGTACCCATTCCGACAGATTCCAACAAAACATGCCGTTGGGGTTTGATGGGTTGAGTTCTGTTAGGGTTAAAACAGTTTCATATTGAGCAATTTTCAATGTGCATAAGTGATTCAAACGAGTAAATGCTACTACAAAATTGTTTATTCACTGACTGTTTTTAGGTCGCTTTTGAATTACTTGGCACTTTCTAGCAGTCAAACACGTGTCTGTAAGAAGGGGCTTCAGCTACTTTGATGGGCGTAAAGATAAGCAGAGGATTCAGTTTTTTCCACTTGCTCTGTTGGCAGGTGTTTGACTTGAACAAAGACCAGACAATTGACGAGCGTGAGTTTGTGATTGTCGCTGCACTCAACGACAAGCTGACAGGGAAACTCACCGATTCAGCAGATGCTCCGTTAGAGTTGGATCTGGACAGGCTAGCCCAGAGTATTACAGCATACAAGGTAAGAAACAGAATCAGGCAAGAACAAGAAATCTTAATCAGGGGGAAAAAGATCGGAGTTTATTGTCAGTTGTGAGCAACTGCAACAACATACACATCCAAAACTAACTTACAAATGGTCTTAAGTCCCATCTCTTGGAATTTTTGACCCAACTTTCTTTGTGTAAGTAACATTCTTGAATTCTCCAAAATCTACCACAGTGCAGGAAGTATATAGTACTCTCTTTGCACAAGGGGGGAGTCTAGCCCACTGCCTTTCGAAATTCTGCAAAAAAAACTCCCAAAAGCTCCTGATGATTTTTGATTGGTCTTGGATAAGGTTATTTAATTTGTTGTACTGTTTTGATGTCTGTCATGTCTGTGAGTTTACATGGATCAAGTGTGACAAATGTTTACATAACTAGAAAAGTTCCACACTTACATACAACAACAAGCAGTGTTTGGTAGACTTGATAATGCCATCTGCTGTCTGAAAAGGAGATAATTGTATTTGAATTTCTTTAAAATTTGATCTTTTTCTTTTATGTTGCACAGCACGTACACATTTGCACTGACCAAACATGCATTGTACACGTAAGCCTGACATACACGTAGCTGTCGTAAGCTTTAAGTATTTTAGAACATCTACATTTAAGTGTTAGTTTGTGAGAACAGGTCAAACTGATTATCACAAAAAGGGTTCGATATCAGGTTTTACCCTTCACCGATGTATAACACTGTTTACTCAGTGTGTTACCTCCTGAGTGAAAGTTGGAAAAAAATCACTCGAGTGGGACTCGAACCCACGACCTCCTGCTTTCTAGTGCAGACGTCGGATTCACTCGGGAGGTAACACACTGAGTAAACAGTGTTTATAGGTCCGTGAAGGGCAAAACCTAATGTTGATTTACATCGCCACGATGCAAAAATTCCATCTTATGAATACAAAAAGGGTTATTAGTACATGTACATGTAGATATTGAGAAGTTAACTTGTCCACACTGCACGGCCTATACATACATGTACCATGCACACAACGAGCAAATGTTGTAGTTTTTAGAATGTAATCATCATGTAGTCTGCTCAATCACTTTTGCCTCCAACAGCGAAAGATAGTATTGTCACACCAGCCGCAGCAGGGAGGCAATACCAATGACAACACAGAGGATGTGACAGATGAGATAGCTAGAGATACACAGTGATTTGACTGGTATTGATATTGTGTTTCCGTTGTGAGATTCTGCCTGGCGTGATTTTGATTTGAATGCTTTACATTTTGAGATTTCACTTTCATGTTCACGTTACCGCCATCTAGCAATTCATGTAACAATTCATGTGTGCGACCAAATGCTGTTTTGACATTACAGATTTGCATGTTTTTGTATAAATAGCTTCAGACACCTTTCGTAGAAATAGTCTTTTTCTTGATTGCTCTTTTTGCATGTAATAACCCCCAGATACTGAATTTGACTCTTTAAAGTTTGAAGGCTTTTTAATCAACATTCATAAATACCTAAGACAGTTTACCCATTCCCATTGGTTGAGAGCCCGTCACGTGACCGGTCTTAAACTTATGATAAAGACATGGCTGGCTGGTCTTAAACACTTTTCCAGTGTCACATGAAATTTGGACTCCTGTGAAATCCAGTGCCTTTTACCGTTTTATTGGTTGAATGTTCACCATCCTCACATAGGCATGCGCAGTACTATCAGTGAGTCGGTATTTCATAGTCCTAAATTCACAACGCACTTACCACTGCTGCATCTGCGCGTCATCGCGCAGTACACGGGACGCGCACCAATCTCCAAAAAAGGACTTGTTGACATCTTACTCGCGAGCTGGATGCTCCATTATTGAGCTAGAAGGGTGTTTCGAAAAACAGAAAGTAAAATTGTTAAACAAAATCGTTTGAATTTGTTAATTTTTTGGACTTGTTTTGACTTATGGACCGAACAGTTTTGATTTTATGACCGAAAAGGTATTTATGAATGGGAATAAATATGTGTTGGGTCGGTTTTAAACACTATGTTTAAGACCGGTTGGAGTCTGGAATGCTAATAATTATCAGCATTCCAGACTCCAACCGGTCTTAAACATAGTGTTTAACACCTCCCAAGCACACATTTATTCCCTTAGTCTTGATTTACCAAAAACAAAATCACGCTCAAGAATGGAATGGCATACAGCAACAATAGAACCTACTTGTAACCCATTTTCCCTTCTTTGAAAAAGCAATTAGGTTTGAATTAGAATGTTTTAATTACTGCTGCAATTATTTTTTTGCTAGCCTAAAAAAATCATATTATTTTCCTGCGTTCTTGATATCATTCACCACCATCCATTTTAGCAGTGTGCTAGCTCTACATTTCCTGGTGTGTTTCATGAGTGTTTTTCACAATTTCACTTTTTTTTTGGTCATAGCTTTGAAAAAGCAGTGCGTGTCAGAATCATTATTGCTTTCTTCCCCCCCCCCCCATTTCAGCTGTCTGTAGTGCTATTCTAGCATTCTTTTGAGTTTGTAGAAGCGTGGTCATATGAAGTTTGAAATATCATTTGTCATTTTGTCACAGTTTGTGAATATCTTAATCCTTCAATTTGGTTTGTTTGAAAATTAGATTTGACAAGATTCTTTACCGGGAGGTTTTACAAATCATGCTAAGTTTAAATCCTGTACATCCCTTGTTTTTGCTTCATGGGTTGGCAGATGCCTTGGACCTGCTTCTACTGTGTAGATTATCTCATCTGTCCCACATGCCAAAAAAAAAAAGATATGCAAACATTTAGCAATGATACCTGCATTTTTTCAACAAATCATTGTATAGCCCTTGGTGCCATTTTGGCAATACTCCTATAAACTGATTGCAGTCATGGGCGTCGCCAGGATTTTTTCTAGAGGGGGGCAAAACATATTTTCCCCAAAAATGCCTGTATTTCTCAACATATTCTCAATTTCTCAGTTTTAGAGGGGGGCAGGGACATTTGGCCCCCCCACTCATTAAATTTACACCACTATGACTTTGTGCCTCTTTTTCTTTTCTTTTCTTTTTTTTTTTCTTTTTTTTTTTTTGCTTTTCCAGGGGGGCCCCTTGCCCCCCCCCCCCCCCCCCCCACCGGCGAGACCCATGATTGCAGTGCTGTCCATTCTGGCAAAATAAAATTCCAGGCTATGCATAATTTCCCTAAGTTTCCACTGAGCAAATCCTGAAGACATGCACTTCTGATGCAAGACTTTGGATAAGTTTTATGTCATGCTTCTCAGAGATAAACATTTCTCATGGGTTCGCAGTGGAGCGAGTTGGTTTTGTAGTCCAATTAAAATACCAAGTGGCTAAATTATGATGGATGCCATCTGTGACTCTGCATGGTGCAGTGTGCAACTTTCTAGAAGGTTGTGGATACAACATTTGAAATTGCTAAAAGAGAAGCGGTTCTTGCAAGAACCAGAGGTGATAATTTGGCGTTAAGATCAGTATCCTCGAACTGTCATATGAAATTCTCCCGATTACGATGAGAGTAAATTGATTGTAAAATCGAGTTCTTCTCAGCACCATCTGCAAGCTTCTCTTAAGTTAAACTTTTATGCTTCATTTACATAATTTAATAAACAAGAGTGGCTTGGTTTGAGATTTTGACACTTTTTCTTGCCCCCCTCCTCCAACCCCCTTCCTGAACAGGAAATATTTCAGGTGACTGACCAGGACTCCGACGGCCGCCTGACTCTCGAAGACGTCATGCTTGTCATCTCGCTCTCAGGGAACCTAGAGACTGGGATAGACCCAGATATCGTCCAACATGTTCACAACACCATCGATGCGGATGACAACGGAACCATTGATTTCATAGAGTACCTCACCTACATACCTTTCTTTCTCAAGTTACACAAGAGGATGGCTGCAAGTCGGCATATTACCATAGCGGAGGTTGAGAGGACTAGGGATGCGGTGAGGAGCGCCATCCTCAAGGTGCGGGGAACTGGGACCAGGGAAGTGACGATGAAGACATTCTGAGGATCAAGAGGCTAATCTCTGGATGGAACAGCCGTTTGAGATGAATGGCTAAACCCAGTATTGATTTACATCACCCTATGCAAAATCCATCTTATGAACAGGAGATGAACTTATTAGGAAGTTTCAAAATTGTTGATTGATGGAGAAGCAGTGACTTTTACGGACACCATCAATACCATTGTGAAAGGAGCTTGAGTCCAAATGGTTGCCATGCTCTCCAAGCTTATTTCTCCAGTCTCATCAAAGGAAGTAGGACAGACTACATCACTTTTCAGAGTTTGGAAACACTTATAAAGCCAAGATGTAAACAGTACCATGGACCATTCAGAAGCTTCCAGCATGGCGTGACCAAGTGTAAAGATAGAGATTGTAATTGAGATTGTGTTATGAAAAGATTTACATATACATGTACATGTATCCTGAGAAGCATTATTCTATGTCTGTATGCTCGGAACAGAGCATGTAAATATGACAATACAAAGCCGTCTCTAAATGCTGAATTGAACATTGACGCATGCTTCTACAATCCCGGCCAAAATGGTTGGGACACTTGGAAATAACCTTAGCCTCCAACGGTCACCAACTCCCCCGCTCCCCCGCTCCCCCGCTCCCCCGGTCAATGTTGTTCTCTCCAGCGGATGGAGCACACACCGCGCAATTAGAGACAACATTGAGGGGGGGCTGGGGGATTGGGGGCCCAGCGAGATTTGGCCAGGATTGTAGCTTTACAGCTCAACTAGACTGGTACCAAAATGACCATATCATGATGATCCATTCCCTTGAAGCTGGGAATCAGGCAGATGACAATTTGCCACATTGTGCCAAATACATGTATTGGGTTGTATTTTCGGTGATAATGGCTCTTGCTGTGGTATGTTAAATTGCAAAGAATTGTTTGTGTTTGCTAATGGAGAAATGTAAACTGGCTTCTCTACCTGTACAAATGAAAACTAACATTATTCCGTCCATTTTGCAAAAAAAGATTTAAAGATTTTAAAAGAGACTTTTGCATGACGTGTGATGTGTGTGAACAAAATTAATACTCCCTTAACCTGTTTTCAAGTAAAGCCCTATTTTTGTCATTGTATTTTCATACTAAAAATTATTATATACCATCTATCCGAACATTGTTTTTATTATGTAAAAAAAAAAAAATCATTGATATTAACAGTTATTGAACAAAATGTCAACCTTTTTTGTATGTGTTGATTCTTCAGACAATGAAGTAACATTTCCTGTATGTTTTTTTTTTATAGATTTCTATAATTACTAAGACCAAAACGATTGCAAGTTGGGGTTTATATTTTACAAAGTATTAAAGGGAACAGTATATTTTTTGAAAAACATTTATCCCTATGAGTCTCACCTTTTTACCTGTGTGTTGAATTCAGACTCGTAATTATGAACTAATAGGTATCTGGGTGTTTTGTGATTGTGCTAAAAGGAATTTATTTGCACATTAACACCAGCTTTTTGCCAACTATTTTACAGGTTTGCTTTTGCCGTTAATGTCGCAAGTAAATTGTAACCTTATACTCAACATGCTATGTATAATCCTTGCAAGGTATGCGTGTGTGAAAGAATGTGTAAACATATATATCAAAATAAATACAATTATTATGTTATATCATCTAATTGTCTTTTGTTGTTAATTCAGTGTACATGTATGGCTTTACGATATGGTACAGACACACAAACGGAGAACAAAAGATCCTTTCAGTCCTTGAGCTTTGGGTCTTGTTGAAAACGTCCTTGATCGTGCAGTTATGTGCTTAGTCTATGGGAGATTGTTATAATTATTAGGCCTACAGGGACAAAGGGAAACACAAATCATTGTCCTCGGGAGTATAGAAATTCACGACTGTGTGCGTTTGATGGGATAATGGTCTACAATTTTTTTTTTATTATGTGTTAATCAAGGGTATGGGTCGGTCACTCAACCGTCACTAGTACATGTTATTTTCATCAATTTCATCATGTAGTTGAGGGGTACCGCTAAGAAAAAACATGAACTTCTTAAAGACATCACGCATAACCTAAGTGGCAAATGGGTCCAAAGAAACATGGAGATGCCTCCTCCTGACATAAAACCCTTTGTTCTTCATGGACTTGTGATACCAGAGGCACAGCAGAGGGTTCTCCGGCCGACCGAGGGAGTGAGCGGCCACTGCGCGGCAGGCCGCCTGGAGCTCGCTAAATGTGACCCGTGCGCTGAGCTGGCTGGTACGGTGAATGCTGTCGATGTGGCCATGCGGGCGCAGGGCGTCGTATAAGGAGGCTTCGTCATAGCCGGGGTCATGACGAAGACTGTGCCATCTGTATATTGGGAACACAAACTAAACTGAACATCTCCCTTAAAAACTATTGGGGGAAAGAAGGGGATAACTGGAGGAGCTTTAGCAACTGGAAAACTCGGAATGTTTAGTAGACAGCATTTATCATGGGGTTTACAACCCCAAGTGAAAGGAGCTTTTGCATGAAATATTGGTGGCTTTTTTTTCAGGCGCCCAGAGAGATGAAAAAATATTACAGATTGACGTGACCATAAAAGTTTTTAAAAAGATTTATAACTTTATTCTACAGATATAGGCCTATCAGTTTTGAACTGATTGAAAAAAATTCTCAACTTTTGAAAATGATTATGACTACACATTTCTCAGTTTTTGAAGCAGCATCCCAAAACTCACGCTTACACGTTTGGGCTTCCATTATGAAATATTTATCATATGCTCCGACTCTAGAAGACAGTGGCGTAACTACACGCCCACCAGCCCCCCACCCCCATGCCCCCACCCTGGGTGTCCCCCCCCCCCCCCCCCCCGTTTTAAATCTTGAATTGAACAGAAATATATATATCATTTGCCTTCAGTGCCCCCCCCCCCCGAAAAAAATATATGCACCCCCGGCCCCCCCCCCCCCCCCCCCCGCCAGTTTAATCCTAGTGACGCCACTGCTTCGAGATTAACTTTTGTTTCATAAAACTGTATTAATACCTGACATTAACCGTAGCAATGGTTGCCTGTACCCTCGCATTCGTGTTCAAATCATGCCAAACCCGTCTCGATAACTGGTCCGGTTTACGGAGGTTCTGCAGGGCTTTGGAGGCCGGCGTAGGCGGTAGAAACGGGTCCTCGTACGGTAGGACGGCCCCGATGAGTCGCCGCTTACCGGCTTGGTACTGCAGCCAGTGATACCGGCAGCATGTTGGTGCTTTTAGTAGTTCTGTTGTGAGGTCCGTCAAGAAGGTTATTCGAGGTATACAATGTTGGGTTTCCAACGGTATTTTTTTTTTTTAAGATTTCTTATTATAACTTCTCAGACATATCTTGTTTCTTAAATCATAGGGAAATGATGTCTCTACTCTCTACAAGACTAATGAAGATCTAAAAGTATGGTCAAAGCATCCTCCATTGAAATGTCAGATGAAACTATCATTTCTCCATTTCATCTCAAAGGCCTCCTAAAAGTTGTTGCCTTGTAAAGAATGAGATCCCCTACTTTCAACAAGTTTGGCTGCAAACACACAATCCTCCAACTAAAATTTCGTTTGTATTTCAACTATGCAAGAAATGCAATTGCTATCTTCCCTACTCTTTTTTCCTCACCTATTTGATTTAGTATGATTTAAAACATGAACAGCATAAATATTTTTTTTAAAAATCAGTGGCGCACCCAAGGGGGGGGGGGGGGCCTCGGGGGCTTGAGCCCTGCAGCCAAATTTTTGGGAAACATTTATTGAAAACTTTAAACTTCTAAAAAATTGGGAAAAAAATTGTGACCCCCCCCCCCCCCCGACAAATCCTGGGTGCGCCACTGGGCACAATATCACTCTTGCCTTTGTCCACGGGTGTCCCGCGTCCAGCTAGAACCATCCTGTCATACATGCAGGCCAGCTTAGTGTCGGGATCTCCGAACATCCTCTGCGAGTTCTCAAACAGCTTGGCGAATGTCTTGCTCTTGCTGGGCGGCAGTGCCTGGTGTGAGCCCCGCCATGGAATGCTGGTTGCCCCACGGGTCAAGGCGAGACCCCGCCTGGCTAGGGTGGTCTTAACGTCCGTGTGGCGGTGTTTGCTCGGTGGCAGGACATTCAAAGCTTGTTCCATACGCCAGGGCATGATAATTTGGCCAAATTTTACTCACATTTTGTCCTAAGAATGTTAGCAGGAAAAATCAGAGCAAGTGCAACGTCTGCAGAAGCAACGAGCAATAATTTCAACAACGGTTGTCATGACCGCGCGTTGCCGCCATTGTTAACTTTGTGATAATGCGCGCTCAGATTGCGCGTGTTTGCTCAACTATTGACCAATCACAGCGCGCCGAAGACAAAGCAACAGGTGATGTATAGTGTGACGTCGGAATCACTTCGGCTCGGACGCTCGCTGAAACAACCAAAGCACAACATAAGCTCTATGAAAAAAACAAAAATCAAGACCGCCATGATTGTAGACGCACACCAAATGGACGTGCAGGGAGGTGAGTTTTTATATGATTTTTGTTACTTTTACTGGGGTTTTTTTGGAAAGGAATTTGGTTTGAGCATTACAGGTGTACACTAAAAGAAAGTTAGTTTGGGCTTCGGAGGTAGTATGGGAATAAAAATAAATTGGAATTTGGAACATTGAAAATGGACTAGTTTTGGCATATTTTAAAGAGTTGATCGTGACTTTTTAAATCAGCCAACATTTTTGTACATCTTTCCTGAGAAAAAAAGTGGTAAAAGTACAGTTGGGGAACCTCCGTTTTTAAATTCATAACCTTTTTTTGGTTCCGAAATGACTTCTACAACCTCAAGCAATCGCTAAATTCTGAAGCCCGGTTCATACTTCATGCGAAAGCGAATTTGACGTCATAAAACATTCGTTGCGAAATTCGCCCGAGTTGAAATATGTTCAACTTGTACGAATTCGCAGGGAGAATACTTGCCACGACGTCACAAATTCGCGTTCGCTTTCGCGCCGAGTATGAACCGGGCTTTATACCGCTAGTTTTTTAAACAGTATTTCGGGTAGAAAATGCGATTTTCCTACCCAGTTTTCCAGTTGGTGGCATTCGAACCAACGCGCTTTTGTGCATCCGGCAATGTCGATTTCTTCATTTTCGTGCTGCGTTTTGTCGTAGCCTTCGTTTTACCCCCATGGTTTATTTTTTTAAATCAAACATTGCTCTTTTTACAAGACGTTCCCTTTAGTTTGTAAAAGTCGCAAATTATTTCGGTGAATTGAAAAGCAAACGGCTTTTCATTCTTAAAAAAAAAAGGAGGCCTAACGTAGGATTACACTTTTTCAAAAGTAGTAAATACACACCTCATAAAATTTACTTTTGTAAAGTTATCCCTCCTCAAAAGATGGGATTTGTGAGATTCGCATCATTTCCCTTATATTCAAGTAGAAACATGACACTTTTTTATATCTTTTGTTTGCGAGCACGCAAAACACACCAAAGACACAACTTTATCACACCCAATTGGGAGTTATCCCTTGTGTAACATGGCAGCATTTTTTTAGGGTCAACCAAAACGAACACAAAAATGAAATTCACTATTTATCATGCCATTTCTCATTCAGAACAGATGTTTATTTAATACAGATATTCATAATCACATGATTTTAAGCTCATATCACATTAAAAGCTTACGGGCGTCATTAAGATTCATTTTTTCCCCATATTACTTGGTGGAGACAGGCTTACACATTTTTTCATAATATATTACTTCTTGACAACAAGGTTAATAGTAATAGAACAAGTTTTCAAATAAGCTGTTTCACATGTTGGATATGAAATGGTTTTATTAAATAATATAATATCGAGGGTGATTTTGTTCAAGACCACCTCTATAGCCCAAAAATAATTTCAATTTTTTTTTTTATTAACATGGTGTCATTCATATAAAGTAAGGCAAATAAATACAACAGCTTACATAGTTTGCACAATAGCCTTCACCACTTCTTTTGTTTTTGCTAGGTGCTGCTACATGTTTTGGTGTTTAAAAAAGATTGGGTGTTATAAAAAAAGATTACTGAGAAATGAAACTAAGACTATAACCCAAACTGTTTAACTGTCATGTGCACACACTAGATTAATCTGCACCATTAGTATGTAAAGTTGCCTTTTTGAAGAAAACCAGTCTCTTTCAATGTTAAGCCTCCTATATGTGAGTAAAGATAAAGTTCGTTCTACAAGTAGATATAGTTTTTGTGTGGGTTATACCGCTATAAATATTTCAAATTCCCTTTTTTTTTTAAGGAATTGTTTTTGTTCTTCAGAGATGAACCTCAAAACAATTAAGAATAGCTGAATTATGTTCAGGTTGGAATAGAAGGATCCTTGTAAAGACAATTAGCAGGAAACACAATGGTTTGACAACACACACAGAGCAAACAGATTATCTGTGAAGCATTTCCTTCAATATTCATTTTTAAACAACGCCTAAATAAATCCCCGCTATCTGATTAGTGGGTCGTTGATCACGTGTCATCAAATTATTTGTCCCAACAAATGACCCGGCCGCACTGCAAATATAGAAGTTCCATTCCACGGTAAAATAGAACTTACATTGCACGGTCATACAATTGGAAGCGCTATAACACAGCTCGGATGGCTCTGATGCTATACATTCAAAGTACCAGTTTACAAGTTACCAATGTGTAAAGCAAAAAAATGAATGTTTCACATTCGTGCGATGGAAAGAATAATTTCATTCATGTACAGATGGAATGTTCCATTCCACTTGGCTTCACCTCATGGAATGGAACATTCCATCTGTCACCACATGAAATTATTCTTACCATTGTACTCATAAACATTGAGTATTTTTTATACAATCTACCGTATTCCTTTCTAAATTTCAACAGGAAAGTCAAAAAATATTTAACAGAATATAAAATTTGGTTAAACTTTGCCGATGAAGGAAAATCATGAAAATCATGAACTGGATTCCCAAACTCAAAGAACACCCTGAGATGTCATATACATGTGTAGCAATTTAAACACTTGTAAAATTGTAAATCGGGGGCATTAAAAAAAAAAAATCATGTATTTTTTGCTATTAAATGAAGAGATTGGAGTGATAAAATGGTCTTCGTTTTCCAGGTTTTGGCAAGATTTTCTTCATCTACAATCACCATCATGATCACAACAAAGGTTCCAAATACCGAAAGCTATTCAAGTTACAATTAATTAATCAGCTGTTTGTGTGTTAATGAGCTATATTATTAAAAGAGATGTAGGTACTACTTTTCATTAACAACTGAGTGGAAAATATATCACCCTAGTATTGAAAATAATTCTAAACTCTGGCCCAATTGCCATGTAATCCAGCTTGCCTTTTTCATTGACAACATGCCAGAAATAAAGTCAGTGGTTGTAACTTAAAAATTAATGTTTGAAGTAGTCCCAACACCTCTTGCACTGTAACTTGCTGTCCAAACCAAAGTCTACTGCAGCAAGAGTGGTTTTCACTATGAACAGCGCCATTCGGTTTAAATAATTTTTTTAAATGCATTCGTAATCCAGTTTTAAACCCACAAACTCGGCGGTCGAGTGCTAAGACGTCTGCACTAGAAAGCAGGAGGTCATGGGTTCGAGTCTCACCAAAGTGATTTCTTCCAACTTTCACTCGGGAGGTAACACACTGAGTATACAGTGTTTATACTGCAGTGAAGGGCAAAACCTAATATCGAAATCCAGTTTTGACTGACCCTAACCTTTTGACCAGGTTACCTGGATTTCAAGCGTCATATTATCTTTACTTTGGTCACAGCTGAGATTTTTCAGAGTTGTAATCAATTAATGACAAGCAATCGCAACTCAAAAGTCAATCAACAGTGAAAATCAAGTTCCACGTCAAGTCACAAGCTATCCAAATGAACTGGACAAAAGAATTCATACGTTATTGTTCACAGCTTTACATGTGATCTGACTTCAGAACCGACTTATAATTTGACTCCTGATCAACTTGAATTGCAATTGACTTGCGATTGACTTGTGATAGACTCATAATTGACAAGTCTACAACTCCGATGATTATATCCATTTGAGTCTGTGACTAGTCCAGTTTGGTCTTAGCTTGCGCTAACCTTGGCTGGTTCACAAACTCCAACCCATACAGATAGATGAGTCCGAGACACACAGCTGTGGCAGCCATCCAGAAGAAGACGTAGGCTAGTTGAAGATAGATGTCAGCTAAAATATTAAAGCAAACAAAACAAAGTATATGTAAGGCATTTGCATTTCTTTGTTGGACTGCATACGCAAATACTACCCTTACTCCCTAAGATGTGTGATAAATCATATTCATAAATACCCAAGACACCATTCCTGTTGGTTGAGAGACTGTCACATGGCTGGTTTGAAACAGTTATTAAAGACCGGCTGGCTGGTCTTAAACACTTATCCAGGGTCACATGAAATTTGGGCTTCGATGAAATCCAGTGCCTTTTACCGTTTTATTGGTTTAATGCTCACAATCCTCACGTAGGCATGCGCAATACTACCAGTGAGTCAGTAATTCATAGTCCTTAGTTCACAACACACCGGCACAGCTGCGTTCTGCGCCACATCGCACAGTACGCACGACGCACGCGCCAATCTCCATTTAAGGAGTTGTTTATGATGTACTCGCGAGAGGGACATACCATAATACAGCCAGAGGGGTGTCCTGAAAAACATGAAGGAAACTTGTTGAACAAAATTATCAGAAATTTATAATTTTTGACTGTTTTGGCTTTTGGACCGAAAGTTTGTGACAGAAAAGGATTAGCATCCAGACTACAACCTGTCTCAAACATAGTGTTTAAAACCAGCCAAGCGCACATTTATTCCCTTATTAAAATTGGAGGGTTTAAGACTGTTACAGTTAATGATGAAAAGACAAACTGAAAGACACTCAGGCTAATGTAAATTCAAGGTAGACAACAAAATCCTAAAATTTATGCCAAGAATTTGGACATTTTGTTTGCAGTTAAAGTAAAATCATCCAATTGGAATAAAAAAGTTGTAGAATTTTCCCTTAAGGCTGGTTCATACTTCAGGCAAATGCGAAGCGAAATTGACTTCACAATACAATAGAATTCGCAGGAGTTGAAACGTGTTCAACTTATGTGAATTTGCAGCGCTCAGACTTGCCATGACATCAAAATTCATGTTTTGCATTTGCTTTCGCGCCGAGTATGAACCTGCTTTTATACAGTAGGAACAGCTAACAGTATACAAACTTACCGGCTGGGATGAGAATACTAATAATGACCATTGAGAACGCCACAATACAGATGACAGGGAGCTACAGCAAAAAAAGACAAGATAAAAGGGAAGTTATGATCCAGAAAGAGTTCTTTAAAACTGAGGTTAAAAGTCTGGTTTTGAAAAGTAAACATTCTGATATCTCAAGAAAAATAACAAAAAAAAAAAATACTGAGGCTCACTTCACCATGCAAACCTTCAAATCTTACTGTGGTCTCGGGATAATGACCAAACAGGTATTAAAAAGTATAAACAGGAGCCACCCATAGGCCAAGTATTTATTCACTGATCCCACAACTAAAAGCAGGGTTAACAGCTCATTAGTTGGATCAAGTCAGAAATTGTGGGTTACGTCCCCTCTCTATTGCCACTGCTTGATCCTCCCCTCCCCATCTCATTATTCCCATTCTAAGAAACGTAAAACTACAAAATTGAATAACCGTGCCTTTAATACACTTGCACGTACATTGTACTCAAACTTTCATGGCACATGAAGTCCCCGATAAAGTAACAGTGGCTGGCTTCACCTACCACAATCCTTTAAAATCTTATAAAAGCTCCTGGTGGATTTTGAAAGATTTGAGCGGGTTAGGGCTAGTCAACATCAATAAGCTTAACAAGTTGTGGAATAAGCATTTTTTGGAGAGTAAAGAGAACTGACCAGCAGGAACTTGGCGTCTCCCTTAGACCTGAGGGGAGACGGTGCCAAGATGCCTTCAGTCTCCTCAACGATGTGGTTGCCAAGGAAGAGGTCTATGGAATCCTGCACAGTGAAGCAAAGAGGTGGCTTACAAATGTTTTTGTTATATCCTGTGTTTGGATACTGTAATTTCATTAGTCTAGGACGGCCACATGTCTGGACAATAAAAATGCATTTCATTTACTGAGGGGGATATTGCACCAGTTGCGTTCACGGGAAAAATTCGTGTGGAACCTGCCGGCGCGCTATAACGTTGCGCAATTAGAATTGCAATGTCAAACACTCAGTCTCATGTCCGGCAGGTCACCAAAACCTTGAGTTATCAACGGTTACATCGCAGTGATTTAATTTATTTCTCACATAGAAAGTTACAACCATTTGTGAGTTATTGGTATGATATAACAAAACAATTGTTGACTGCTGTGATGTGGGATATGCCGTTTTTAAACCCCCTTAGGGCGCATAGCACCCCTCGGGTGTTAAAAACGTCATATCCCACATCACAGCAGTCAACAATTGTTAAATATCCAATTTCCAATGCATTATGCGGCCTACTCACACAAGCAAAGTGATGGCATGATGTGGTTACCAGGGAAAGGTAAACAATGAAAGAATGGTGGTTTATTCTTGGAATGTTTCTTATTCAGTCCTTCCTCTTCTTCAAAATTAAAAATGAGACAATGGAATCATCTAAGAACAATCTGGCTTACCTGTCTGTATCCATCAACAAAGTTGTTCATGTAGTACCGCAACATGGAGTTGTACAAGTCCTTCACCATTCCAAAATGTGTGCGCTTTCCAGTCCTGCAATAACATGTAACAATAAACAAAAAATTTAACAGTAGTGAATGTAGTAGTTAAAAAAGTACCAATACAGAAAGTAATAATGGAGAAAGTGACAGTTGGATATTGAACAGTGAAATCCAATGTTAATAGAGAATTCAGGATTCACTAACTTTTAAATTTGAAGGTGGTGCTGGTGCTGCTTATTGAATGTAATATTGAAAAGGGGGTGGGGTAGTGTGGGGTGGACATAATTGACACCTTTACATTTATTCAGAAAGTCTATTCTGAAATGTCAAAAAAATCACATGATGTTCAAGGAAGAAAATATTTGTCCACTGCAGAGGTTTTAAGCAATGAACCAATGAAATGTGAGCATAGAAAATATGTTACACAGGTGTTGGACACCTGGGGACAATGGAACCTTCCAGAGATCAGCTCAGAATTACAGAGGAATATATTGGACATACCGTGTGAAGTCGGTCTTCAGTGCCCCCGTGCCTGCATACTGCTTGGAGCAGAAATCAGCGTTGTCTGCCCACGCTGGGGGAAAAAAGAACATACAGTGTTCCTTTCATATAATGACACAACATCAATAGGGATTTTTGTAGTCATAAGCCCATTTCAAAATCTCTTATTAAAAGCATTTCTACCTTTTAATATAAAGCATGGTTCAAACTTACTGTTTTTGAAGGTGCTTTCGAATGCTGTGGTGAGATGATCATCTATGCTTTCACCTGGGTTTAGGACCCCAAACATCTGAAACGGAAGTGTGAAAACTCTAGGGTGATGTCACTGCTTTGAGACCGAGTTGTAATCAATCATCACAAGACATCGCAAGACAATCACAAGTAAACACAAGACATCACAAGTCATCACAAGTAAACACAAGACAATCACAAGTCAATCACATCACAATCACAAGTAAACACGAGTCAATCAAAAGTCATCACGAGTCCATCACAAGTCATAACGAGTCCTTCACAAGTCATCACAAGACAATCACAAGTCATCACAAGTCAATCAAAAGTCATCACGAGTCAATCACAAGTGATCACAAGACAATCACAAGTAATCACAAGTCAATCACAAGTCATCAAAAGTCATCACATGTTAATCACAAAGTCATCAATCTCAGGCCAAAGGACAAACTTTTCAAACTATTGACCCTCTGCCCACGTTGTAATAAATGGAGTCTAGTTGCTCTAAGGCAGTCACTGGAGTCAAGTCATCACTAAACAAGGTCGAGCTGAGACAAGTCTAGTCACATTTTGCTTGAGTCAATTATAACTCTAATTTTAGCGCTGCCTAATTTAGAATCGCATACTGAAACTGAGGTGAGTTTTTAAATCTTTATTCAGATATAATTTCTGTAATGGCAGTACGAGGTAGGAGCCTGTGGAAGAAGATAAAATTGCATGTGCATTGCAAGAACAAGCATGCATCCAATCATGACATGGGGTATAATAATAAGCAGTCAATGTTGTTACTTTCTTACATTTTTAAATACTGCATTATTAACCCTAACAGAACTCAACCCATCAAACCCCAACGGCATGTTTTGTTGGAATCTGTCAGGATGGGTACAGTACCCCTAAACTGACAGTCTTTTACATTGGGTTGGCACACCTCAAGAATCAAAGTCAGAAATATGTGTGTGCAGTTTCCCATATGGTGTTGGAATTTGCCAGGTTGGGTATGGTTCCGAGTGAATCATGCTAGGGAGTTGGGGTTAAAGTGGATTCATTTGCTGGCAGTGACTCGAGTCGAGTTGAGTCACAGAAACTTGTGTCAGACTTGAACAGAGTCATACCCAAGCCATTTTTATCACCTTATAGTTGCAGATGCTATTATTACCTGTAGTTGTTCTTGGAGCGTTCTCCTAGCCAGTAAGCTCTGCACCACGTTGGTGCGGTCCAGACAGTCCATGCAGTTGGTTCGGAAGACGCCAGTCTGGTGCTTGAGAAGCTGACTCGTGGGACTGAGTATGAAGCACCTAGGAGGAGCAGCAAAGTTTGGGTTTGGATTAAAGGCTGACAAATTGGTGAGTTATATCTAAGGGCACACAGAGACTCTTTATTGTATTTATTGCTATGTTGGGGGACTGGAATGCTTTTCTATCATGCATCTACCTTTTTTATAATTCAAACAGACATTTATGTTTTAGACCTTGATTGTTTATGGCAGACACAAACATTACAGTCATTTTTAAGGGGATTTCATCACAGATGCTCAAAGCAAATAAAATTCACTTTATGAGAAGACTCAGCCAGAGGATTTCCTTACAGTGCTGCAACAAGAGCCAGTACTGGTTAATGCCAGGGGAGCATGAGACTTTTGTTTTCGGGCAAGACGTTTTTATTTTTACTACAATTGCCTCTCTCCACCCAGGAGTATGAAAAAAATTGGTCTCACGGCCTGATGTACTGGGGTAATAATTGTAAAGTGCTTTGAGACCTCTGATGTACAGCACTATGTAAGCATCAAATTATTATTATTACCAAGGTTCAATTGGTTTGGTTTACTTCAACTGACTTTTTCCAAAGAGTATAAATACTCACAATTTACACAAATTAATATGCCATATTCTTAAATTTATATATTTTTCTTCGCAATGAAATGCTAAATGCCATCATAACCACCACATTGATACTGCAAGACAGAGGTGTCCCACAGTCAGACTTAAGCAAAACTGGAGCTAAGAATAATTTTTTTGACAAGTTTTTTACAAAATAAATCTGTCCATCTGCATAATTCACAAATCATACTTTAATCTTTGCCAGACGTACTTACCCATGTTTTTCTTGAGGAGCTGCTAGTCTGTCCATGAGGATGGAGAGGCGGTCCCATCGCATCTTACGGCACTCATGATGGAAGTCAAAGGATTCATACCTGGAGGATTCAACATCAAAAACCAGCATTGTAATCATTGTCAAATTAGTATAAATTATGTTTTAATTGTAACTCTTAGTCTTCTCTCCTTGTTTGAATAATGACATGCATGCAGATCTAGAGGTAAATGCAGCTGAAGGCTGAAGAATCATGAGATCATATATTTACCCTCTTACTGTTTAAACAGTCACAGACAGTCAAATATTCCATCCACTTCCCTGCCATGCCTTTTACACAGGCTAGTCACAAACAGTCAGATCATATTTCAAACGAGCACTCTGACTAGCCCTGTTATGCCAGTGCAGTTGGCAAAGAGAATTATCAGACCTTTCAAAACATTTTAAATTTGCCTGACTAAAAGGGTTTTGAAAGGTGAAATAGTGCTGGAACTTTGGGATTTTTCGAAAGGTTTCGAAAGGTGAAGCAACTCTGTGGGCAAATTCAGTAAGTTGCATTTCAATACCTTTCGAAAGGAATTGAAAGGTGAGGTAGTGCAGTAACAATAATTTCTGGAGGATTTTAAAAGGTCCAGCATTTTTTCCCTCCAATTTGCCAGCACCCAGATTTTGAGGTGTTTTGAATGGTCTTACTACAGGAGAGCTAGTCAAATTCAGTCAACAATCAATAGCAGGAAACTGGTAGCACAGCTGTCTTATCAACCACCTACAGTCAAAGCACAGCTGTATCAAGTTACATAAACAGTCACAGCCAACCAATCCCACTTTATGGGAGCTCTTAACTGTTGAAAAAAGTCACTTTATTGAGTTTGACTGAAAGGACAACTTGGCACGGAATCTATGTTTGCATAGGAGGGTTAATATTATATGTTTAAAAATTGAGTAAATTTAATGTCAAGAACTGACTAAACATTACTTTATACTCTTGTTCCCTGAATCGATTACAGCTTTGGCGAACGTCTTCTCTAGTCTGTCCTCAATCCCTCTGTGATCAATCTATATATGGAAGAAAAACAATTTGAACAGACAATAACGAAGAGCATTATTATCCATTTCAATATCTTGACCACAAAAATTCAACAAGCACAAGGATATTTGTGTTGCACTAGAACAGGTTATTAGCAAATATCCTTGCCGTGCATACTGCTAACTCATTTTCACAGAGATGCCACCAATATATCAATAAAAAGCCTGAAACACTACTAAAAAACCTGAAACTACCCTTACCCCCTTTCAAAAATGTGTTTTCTGGATGTTTCAGATCAAATCCAGCACTTTCAATTTGCCACATTTAAAAAAAAAAAAACCTCAATTCAGGTTAAAATCTGAAAAGTGGCATCTCTGTTTTAATATAATTTTATTATTTTTTTGTAAAAAAATCAGGAAGTTTATCTAATGAGCCCTCGTCTGATTGGAAGTTGAATATATTTCTAATGTGAAGATTTTTGTGGAAAAACCTTAATAAAATCTTGAAAACCGTTGGAAATAGTTTGGAAAAACCTTTGTTCACAGTTGTTGGACCTGATGGCTTCCGAAAATATCCCAAGACAACTGTACTTATACACTTGAAATCCTGTGGTTAACTGGGATGTGGTTTAGCAGTTGTAACCAAAAAACTGGTTCAATTGTTTCTCATTGGTTAGGCATTTTAGCAACTTGGGTAGTGCAGTAATTCACTTGCTTTTACGTCACAAACAATATTCAAAACTATCATCCAATGACAAACAACTGAACCAGTTTTGGGTTATGAACGCCAAAACGAGATTCTGTCTTCGTACTCACCAGGTTGACCAGAACTTGATCACCATAACTGACCACCTGGCTGTCCAGATGCCTCATAAAGCCATCCATCTATATGCAAATACATTGAATATTCATACTACATCCTATTTAAAATTCATATATGCAAATAAGATACATTCTTATGATGAATATTTATGAGAGAGGTATTAAGGAAAGGAAAATCAGCACTTACATGGTTGAGAGCTTGGCTTATCAATATCTTTGGTTTGTATTTGATGTTGGGCCGTTGGGACCAATAAAGTGGTATGGAACCTCTCGTCTGAAAGATTACCAAAAAAAATTACAAAAGTTACAAACAGAAAGAATATCAGATGAAAACAGAAAGAACATCTACTGAGTTAACACTTGCATTTGAATAATTTCCACATCAATAAGGGGAGAATGCAAAATATAAGATGCGGTAACTCGAGGTTTACCTTGAGGTTTTACGAGGTATTACAGGGTTTTGCAGGTTACCACAGGGTTCCACTTCAAGTTACCTGGTAACTCCAGGTTTACCTTGAGGTTTTGCGAGGTATTACAGGGTTTTGCAGGTTACCTCAGGGTTCAACTTCAAGTTACCTGGTAACTCAAGGTTTACCTTGAGGTTTTGCGAGGTATTACAGGGTTTTGCAGGTTACCTCAAGGTTCAACTTCAAGTTACCTGGTAACTCCAGGTTTACCTTGAGGTTTTACAAGGTATTACAGGGTTCTACAGGTTACCGCAGGGTATCAACGCTCATCTAATTGTGCATTCTTCCCTATAAGAACTGACATCAACACATCGTCTGGAGAACATTGATCATTTTGTTACCTTTTGTGACACATTTCCCAAAAAAATTTCCAAACATTTTAGAATGAACATTTTCTCAACAACAATTTTCCCTTGTTTAAAAAACTAAGCATAGTTGGCTAATCACATTTTAAATTTCCGTCAATTCTGTTCTGTTGATTACCACTGATAAATAATTACGAATTTCTCTTTTACTTGAGCTTTTCAAAAACAACAGATAATCTGCAACCAGTACGCTTTACTGATTGCGACGATCAATTTTCTGATCACAATCAAATAAAACAAAATTTGATTACGGAGACCATACCTGAACAAATGAGCCCCTCCATCCGTTACATTGCACAATCTGTTCCGTCTCCACAAAGTTAGCGACATGTCCCTCCGTATCCAAGCCACGCATGTAATACCGTGTCCCGGCCCGGAAACAACTCCGTCTTGAGATCAGGATGTAGTCAAATCGCTTGCCATGCAAGATGCCTATTCTTATCGAGACGACTGGTACCCGGCAGTCCAATTAAGGACAATTTTATACACAAGTTGGTGTACAGGTAACAAGTGGTTAACCAGTGTTACAGTCGAAGTCCATCACAAGTATAGTATGAGTATCGTCCGTTTTGCAATGGAGCCCTCTCCGCAACCAATCGGAGTCAAATTTAGAAATTGTGACATCATTTCGATTAGAATGTGGACTAAGCTGTTGATTGGTCAATTTGGCTGCCATTTTTTTATAATACAATGGGTTACCGAAGACCGGATAGAAGGCACCCGCTGAATGGTCAGAATTTGGAGGTCAAGACGCAGTCTTATTTTGCGTAATAATCGCCGAATCTGCACGCACATCACAGACCCTTGCCGTGCAAGGAGATATTCCATAGACTATCACGAGTGCAGCCACAAATCAAGTCATGAGTCCCATCACAAGTTACAAGGGATGCACACGAACAAAGACGTTGTCAACGTCGCCACAGTTCATTTCAATAACTTTTGACTGACTTGGAACTGGAGGACTTGTGATTGACTTGTGATGGACTTGTGGGGACCTAACTGTGGACTTAATTGTAACTGAGACACTATGATTTTCCCTTATCCTTTCAGGCCCTTCAAAATCCACCAGGAGGATTTGGAAGATTTTGCAGGATTGAGGAAGGTAGAGCCCAGCTACTACAATGTATTACTTTACATGGGGCTTCACTCCCCTTGAAACTTGGTAGGTACAAAGAGTGTGGCATAAGATTCCTAGAGCGTGATGGATTTTGCAGGATCAAGGCAGGTAGAGCCCAGCTACTATCACTTTACATGGGGCTCAATACCCCTTGAAACTTGGTAGGTACAAAGAGTGTGCCATAAGATTCCTAGAGCGTGATGGATTTTGCAGGATCAAGGCAGGTAGAGCCCAGCTACTATCACTTTACATGGGGCTCAATACCCCTTGAAACTTGGTAGGTACAAAGAGTGTGCCATAAGATTCCTAGAGCGTGATGGATTTTGCAGGATCAAGGCAGGTAGAGCCCAGCCACTATTACTTTACATGGGGCTTGATGCCCCTTGAAACTTGGTAGGTACAAAGAGTGTGCCATTAGGTTCCTGCACAGTGGAGGATTTTGTAGGATTGAGGAAAGTAGAGCCTAGCCACTGTTACTTTTCAGTGGACTTTTTGCCCCTTAACAAGTTTAATACGCAAAGAATTTGGCATTGGTTTCTTATATGGTCGAAGATTTAGGGTGATGTTATTCTTAACTGAAGCTAACCCATTTGGAAAAGGATACATCCACACATGACTGGTAATATAAAACGACCCAGCTGGAGAACAAGAACAGAACAAAACAGTCAAATTTATACAATTTCTGCATTGGAATCTTTACACTTGTTGACAATCAGTGGGAAAAACTTTAAAGAAAAGAGAGAAGAAATTGTAAGCGCACACAGAAATGTATATCAATGGTAATGTAAATGTAATGGAATAATTTCAGTGAAAGGGCAGTTTGATCTCATTTGAGGAAACCAAACAAAACATAAAATCGTTTTCAACAATTTTGAAAATGAAGGAGAAGCAATTGAAAAGGCTGCAAAACTACACAACTAAATGTGAAAAAAACCCAAATATTTTCATTTTTGCAAACAATGAATTTTGGAGCATTTTGATTTGTTAAAAACAATCACACTTTCTTACCTCAGGTTGAGATGCCAGTTCTCGTAATAAATGACCGTTCCAAACAAAACGCTGATCAGCCTGTCAAAAAAGAAGAACAATGAATAATTTTAAGAGATGCTTTTGGTATTCTGTCAATCAAAGATTCTGAATTCCATTTTGTATTTTCAGGTTTTTTATTGATGGCGGATACATTGATGTGTCTTTTTATTTCTCTTGAAATTTCAACAAACACTAAATGTTTCTAAAAAATATTATCAAAATCAAATTCAACAGGTTCTGTAGTAAATTATTTTTAAAAATGTCCACGCACCCTCTCAAAAAGTGGCATTTGCAGGAATTCAGGACTAGTGTTGTACAGCCTCTGTAGAGAATGTGTGAGGTCATAGGTCGTTGAGAAGAAGCAGTCATTGGTATCCAGCACGTAGTTGATCATGGACTCATAGGTGCGGTTATACTGTTGCTGCAGCAAAGAAGTGGCCAGACACCAAATACATGATGTTGAAATGTTTATTCAATCTAGACAATACTTGCAGTACAAATTAATCAATCTCAAACCAGGCTGATACTGCTCTATGGGCAAAAAAGAAAAAAAGAAACGACATGCTTGATTTTATGTCAGTCGGTTATTTACATATATTATGAGTCTCAATAAAGATTCGCTAAATATTAATCAGAATGTCAACTTGAGTAAACAACAGCAAAAAAAACCACATGTACGGTTGACATAAACAGCCAGCTTGGAGGTGGTTTTAAATGTTTTACCCCAATAACAAGGAATGCACGAAAGGTCTATTTACATTACATGGCATCTAAAAATAGGGTAGGTAGGTAGGGAGTTTTTTGGAGGGTAAGTTTTTTGTCTACGATCATACGGAGGTGTCTGCGTGTAGTCAAGAGTAAAAGGTAGAATTTGATGATTTCCGGGGGTTTTCCCTCATTTTTTCAACAAACAAAAACTAGGGTAGGGGCTGTCAAAATACTAGGTAGGGTAACCGGAAGCAGTTATTTGTTTTGCCTTGTCATTATACCTATGAAACAAAGCACGCACCTCCAATATGGCTGCCAAGAAAAGGGTCTAAACACACACTAACAGTAAACATAAGTAGGCCTATAAAGATCTGATACACCGTGCCCTCTGGAGACATGCACACAATAGGGAACAAAAGATTGTATACGTCTCCACAGGGCAATTTCTATAGATGAATACGTCTCCACAAGGTTTTCACGAAATAGATATATGGATTTTACTCCAAAACTAGGAATTTCCAAGGTATGTTGATTTGTCGCAAATGATAGCGTTTTAGAAAAGGGATATCAAGTCTGAATTTCAGCCAAGGAAATTAATTCTGGTTAAAATAAGAGCATTTTGAAACTGTACTTTCAAACTCGAAAACTTTAGTACACGAGAACAAAGAAATGTCTCCACAAGGATACAAATTTCAGTATGTGTGGACATAACCCCACACACAGACAACATTTTACCAAAGTTGCAATTCACACGAGGTTATTGAATTTCCTGTGCCGTGTTTTTCATGTTGTTTCAACAAGTTTAGAGCATTTCAACACAATTTATCACCGATTAGGTATATTGTGGTATCCGAGAGTGTAGCGGTAAAAACCCTAATAAACTAACAGAGTATAAAGTCAGACAGACAGACAAGAAAAGTCGGACAGACAGACAAGAAAATCAGGAGTTTCAAACCTGTTGTTCATTGAGATGCATGACTGTCCTCTTGTAAGGCAGAAGCTCATGACCTGTGACCTTCCAGATGGTCTGGCCATTGATTTCCCCGACCTTTGACTTCTTGGTGATGACCACCAAATAAGGGCCTGCAAGAAAAAAAGTATAGGTAATGGACAAGTAAACAGAGAAAATGACAAGTAAGCAAGCAAGCAAGCGTAGAGAAGGTTTGCTTTTGTTATGGTAGATATGTGTGTTGTATTTGACAAGGGGTGAAAATGAAGAAAACATGCACCACAACATTTGCATAATGATTTTGATAACGGATTTGCTTCATCAGTGGCAAGTAAGTTGTCTTATTTAAACACATAGTGTGCCTGCAAAATGTACTGAAAGCTGTTTCAAATCATGCACTGTTGTTTTAATACCATTCCATTTCATTGTGTAAACTGTCATTAATTGTGAGTTGAAACATTAAATAAATTAAGCACTCTTCGGGTTATTTCTATACCCTCTGCAAAATGTCGATTGAGGGAGCCTTTTTATCACTGCTAACTGGTTCTTGGAGATGAGTGGCTCTTATTTTAAGTGTGTTAGTGTTAATTATTTTAACGTACAGTCAAAGCCTTCCAGGACACATCACTTCGCAGTGTGCACTGTTCTGGTTATTTCTACACTGCCAAAGTTTGGTTGAGGTCATTTTTTTCTCTCTATTACTAACTGGGTCTGAGAGATGGATGGTTCACCTTACCTGCCAAAAGGCGTATCGTCCCCATCAGTCCACATATCGGCCGGCTTGTAGCAAAGGGCGGGATCTGATCTGAAGATTCTGCCAATGGTACACAAATATGTGGGGTGAGATGGCCTAACGATTAAGAACACTGGACTCATGCTCTTGTGTTTTAGAGGCAACAGTGGCATGGGTTCAAGGCCGGGCCCGGACACTTGTGCCCTTGAGCAAGGCACTTAACCATTATTGCTTCGTCCTTCGGATGGGATGTAAAGCTGTAGGTCCCATGTGTTGCATAAATGTACGTAAAAGAACCCAGCAAAAACTTATCACTAAGAGAAGGGGTTCGCCCCGGTGTTTCTGGCAGTTATCCTCATACATACACCATGAGGCTGTACGCGATAGCCACACCAGGCATTTGTACAGAAGCTAACAGATACAGATACAGATATGATAATTATGTGTCAGCACTGAATTTCCCCCTTCTTATAAGCCAAAATCAAAGTTTCGTGCGAGCAATAATTTCTGGGACAGAATTTTGGATTTACAAACCCACGTGATGCTGAAAGCTAGCTGTCTATTGGACTAGGATTGCATGACGTCTTTTGTTAAATCCAAAGTACTGCGAGTCCAAACTTTTCAGACTAGCTGTGGCCTACTCATGAAAGCCAAAGAAGGACACAGTGCATTCGAAAATTAAAGAGGTTGTGGAATGCTTGAAGACATTTCCGTCATTTTTTGGGTATATATAGCCTAAGGTGTAATGAAATAAAAACGACTATTGTTTCTGTCACGAAATGAGTACAAAGGGTACTTTTGAGAGCTATTTTTCAGGTCCTGTTTCGACCCGAACGTGCAATTTGTGTAAAAGTCGTCGTTGCGGGCAGCAAACAAAACACAGTAAATCGTGACGTAATAAACAGGACTCGTTTATGCTACTCTGCATCGGGAGTCCTGTTTATTACGTCACGATTTACTGTGTTTTGTTTGCTGCCCGCAACGACGACTTTTACACAAATTGCACGTTCGGGTCGAAACAGGCATGACAGGACTTGAAAAACAGCTCTCAAAAGTACCTTTTGTACTCATTTTATGACAGAAACAATAGTCGTTTTATTTCATCACACCTTAGGCTACATATACCCGAGAAATGATGGAAATGTCTTCGAGCATTCCACAACCTCTTTAAAACGTCTCATCCAAAGTTTTGTACGAGTTTGTCTTCCGTCAAATTTTTATATCAGGAACCTGTGAACGTTAATTGCTGATTTCCAGACCATATTAGGTACTCACGTTCTAGTGAAATCTCCTGACTCAGCCTGTCAATGACCAAGAGTTCCTTGGTACCATCATCTCTGGCTTCCACATAGAACTTGTCATCGGTGGTGTATCTGCAAAAAAAAAAATCAGATAGGAAAGAATGTTACATCCTGATGCCACTTCTTTCCTTCTTCATATCATTTCACTGAAGGTCAGTCATTGCAAAACTGTTGAAAAGACATGAATCTGGGATTGAGAAACAATTCCAATTTTGTTAGAAAATACTTTGGAAATGCATTCGACTTTCCACAGACTTTGTACACAACCAAAGAAATGGCATCTGGATACACGTACTACATTTTGTTTCCCGAAGGATGCAGCATTAATAACAAGCTAAAAAATAGCTTTGAATGCAAATCCCTTTTAGTTACAAAAGTACACACTGAAAAATTGTCTTACTTCTAAACGAAAGAATAAGAAAAATTCAATGAAAGAGTACTGGTAGGCCTACTGTCCTAAGCAAATAAAGGGAGATTCTTCAAATGGCCTATAATTCCCAGAACATAAATAAATAAATCTATAATTTACCAAGGCCACAGGGAAGTACGGTAAACGTGAAACATTTACTGTAGCAATTTCTGAACAGTCTAAAATATGGCATGTCACCAAAACAAGTTTTTGTGCGTGAGAGCATAAAGTTGTAATTATTAGATAGTGGATATTTTGCCGGAGGTAATGACGGCAAACTAACGATTACTAAAGGTTTGCTGGCGGCAATCCATATCAACAGAGGGCGCTGTACTCTTTAAAATAGGGCTGAATTATAAGATGTATTTAATTCCCACCAAAAGTTGAGTAGCACGTTTGGTGTAATGGTTAAGCAAAGGCTCTAGTAAGCGGGATGACTCGGGTTCGATTCCGACCGTACCACATTTTAAAGGTTTTTTTTCTCATCCCCAAATAAATAAGAATATTCTTCTTTTATTATTTTAACATGTCTCAAACATTTTTTGCAAAGTATTACATTTTCTTTTTCAGATTTGTGGCTCTGGAGGATTTTTTTTAAAAGGGAAATAAAGTCCAAAATTATAAAATGGTCTGAATCCCATCTTGTGAATACGAGGTAACAACGATAATTTTGGCATGGAGCCAGACTAAAACTTTTCACTGGAAAATGTTTAAGTACAAAAAAACAGTAACTGCGCATGTTCAGTGCATATCCGGCAAACTAACGTTTACTAAAGGTTTGCCGTCTCCGGCAAAATATACACTGCCTAATTATTACTAAATTAAGAGCCTGCACTCTCCCCCTTTTTATTTTGTGTACCACTCAACATTTTGATCAAAAGTATTTGGGTGCCACTTTGTTGGGTGTGTACAAAGTCTATGGGGAGAACAGCTGTAGTTGTGAAAGTGTTCGTGTTCTCGGTACACTCACTTTCTAACAAAATTTCCAACAAAACTTGAAAATGAAATGTTTACAAGTCCCAACAAATTCATGATGTTTTTCAAATATATTTCCAATGACTCTCCATCAATGACAATGAGCATGATGAGGTTACGGATAATATAAAAAGTTAGGCTATGTCAGGAAACTTTAATCTTTCCAATTGTTTCTGTAATTATAAAGCAAATTTGGCCATACATTTTATAATGCAAATGTACACGGTGTACAGCGCACACTTTCCCATACGAATACACACCAAACGCCCCCGGCGCAGTTCGATATTCCCAACACGAAAAAATGTATCAAATATTCCAATAATACCTGCATTTAGATTGAAAAGAAACAATCCACGGCAGAAATCTTACTTAACTAAAATCTGATATATCAACCTCAATGGCAAAATGTATTAAAAAGTAATTAAAAACGGCATTAAAACTTACAACACCAGCGACTCATGCACCGCCATGTTGGACCACGGATCAGCTCACAAGGTTAAAGGTCATTCAGCTCAGAAAGAGGACATTAATGAGGGGTGGAGCATGCAAGGAGGAGACGGGGATGCGGACCGTTGCGGCACATCCATTGTAATAGTGTTTAATGTTTCAATATGAGTCTTTCCCTCTTAAAGAGTTAAATAAGTAAATATCCAGTATTGTAAATTTCGAACTATATTTACCTGCAAATTGCTATCGTGTTTGGATCATTTGGAAATTTAAGTAAGAATCCAGTAAATTCGCTCAGTTTCTTTTTTGGAAACGGACCACTGGCGCGAAATCAGAAACAAAAATCTATATGTTTTATCTGCACGAATTTTGTTAAAGGATGAAAGTTTATTTGTTGATTTCATGATTCATCATTACAATAATTACAGCACACATCGCTGTAGCTGTAGACCTACTTATTTATAAGCCTTAACTTTAGCAAGACTCCCATCATAATCTGCGATAACATCCGTGTATAGTATCGTCGGGACGTATTTGGCGATTGAAATGGTGACGATCATATCATTTCGAATAAAAGGTCTTTCACTAGCATGAATTGAGTAACATGTGTTGTAAATGATAAGCATATCCAATTGTTTTGATCAATCTACAGCTTTTCTTACTTTTGCGCGTACTGCTCCATTGTGCAAAGATCATCAGTCAGGCAAATGAAGAGCTCCGCAAAGCAAGCATCCCACTCCTCACAAGTTCTGCCCTTTTAATTTCAGAGGTTCATTTATCATCCTTTTCGTCTCCGTTGTTATGGCAACCTCATTAGGCATCTTTGCTTTGCTCAGTCTGCCTTCTCCAGGCATCCACTAAGCTATTTTCCAATATAGTTTAGGTCTTAATATCTCAAAACGGCCATTGAAAAGACTTGAAGCATAAGCCATCAATGATTGTTATTTGTAGACGATTGGACAGAATATATATTATACGGGATCAAGTTTAAACTCGCACCATCATACATCACGATGGCTTATACCTATATTACCTTCAACCATGCAGGTAGCATTGTCCACTTTTGTGTAATTTTACCGTACATGTTTATTTATAAGAATTATTTTCTTTTTAAATAGGAATGGCATTTATAGAATTAAGCGATATTTAACTGAGGTATCTCCCCGTTGATATTATTTTTTTCAGATTTTGAACGGTGAAAGCGCACCGTATACTCAACCCCCACCAATACGCAATGTTTTTCCGATATGAAAACACAATACTTATTTTACCGAGAAAGGGTTGATTTGGCAATGTTGGGCTCCCTAATTTACTAGAAGACAGGGTAAGTCGCTGAATCTTTTCAAAGTCGGCGTGGGAAACACTAGAACTAAGCTGGTCACGGGTGGTGGTGATCTTCGTATCCAAGGGTGCAAGGGTCGACCTTCGAAACGTTGAGTCCCTCCGGTTCTTTTCAGAACCACACATACTCACAAAAGAGATTTATTCACATGGGGCTACCGCAAACTTATCTTGTCTTAGTATCTTTTCCACCATGCAAACCTTCAAATCTCACCAAATGAAGTGTATCTTAAAAGAGCATCTTATGCATCATCTCAACAAAAAAATTATTATTGAAATTGATCCATGCTATCTGAAGTTGAACCAATTTTTATAGATGTCCATGGAATGTCATGAGAAGCTGTTGAGCTGAGTGAGAATAATTACACATCACACGCAAGCATTCAAGTACAAATTACTCAAATGAGATTTTAATCAATCAAGATATTTTTGCTGTCAAATTTTGTGTTTGGAATACGAGGAACAAGTCATCTTTTTTTGTCTGAAATATAAATGGCGATTTTGGTATGTTTTCCTTTGCAAGTTCTCCTCCATTCATCGAGGTGGGAAAACGTTCATGTTTCATTGCATTTAATGGGTATTTATCAATTCGTAGAACGGTAAATGATCAGTGGTGGACAGCTGAATTTTATGATCTTCATATTAAAATAGACGTAACTTAATAATAGAATTTATACAGTTACTATAATAACATGTACTTTATGATTATGTATTTTTCTATGAAATGAAGCGAGTGACATATTTTAAATATTTTCTCTAATTCGGTCACTTTCTTTTTGACTCACCCTGTACATTGGAGAAGTGGTCGTGTCACTCGCAACGCCATCACATTATATTTCAATCAGAGATAACAAATTTTGGACTCCCCCTCCTCCTATCCCATGCACTGGAGTCTTCAAAATAAGGATTCGTGTTTAGTGATGAAGACCGTCAGGACGGGTAAGCACCCCCAATCAGCGGCGGCGGAACGGTTTTGAAACTGGGGGCATCACCAAAAAGGGGCACTTGCTCAGTAAAAGGCATTTTGGGAAATGGTTACTGAAAACAAGTTTTGTTTTCATCTCGAGGGGGTGCATTTATGCTCGAGGGGGCACATTAATGTCCGCAAAAGGGGCACTTGGGTAAAGTGCCCCCTGCCCCCCCCCCCCGGTTCCGCCGTCCCTGCCCCCAACTTCAAGCCATATCCTTCCCTGTTTACTCTTTTGTATCTGCTGTTGCCTTCATGTTTTGGTTTTGGTTTTGTCAGCGAAAGAGGTAAAACACAAATTGGACGACATTTCCTCAAAACAAATTTATGAACTTTCCGAAGAAAAAAAAAGACAACGAACAAAATTAAAAGCCTACCCCTGCAAGCTTTAAGTGAATGAAAAGGTATTTTCCTGTCACAATCATGTGTTGAGCTAGCAAAAGCAGATTACCAGTCAAAATGTTCTGGGATTTTCATTTCTTCTGATTGGTTCTCCGCTTTGCTGAGTAATGGGCATGGTATATTACCCGCTTTATCGGGCACACAGCGTTCTGGATCATTTCGGGCCAGGCAACTGTATTTCATCTCAAAGGGCACAAAGTACACGACATTAGGGGGACCTGCAGCCAAAATCTCACAGAGCAGACATCGATGAGCCCCAGTCTGTCTCGGCCTATAGATTTACTGAGTCACTGATGATGGGGTGCCGATACAATGCCCTCTCCCCCCATTTATGATCAATGAGTCAGCAATGAAAAAATATTGTACCAGTAGTGTCATAATTTGACGACTGCCACAATGTTTTACATCATAGCATATTTTCCCTTTAAACCCAGATTGTATGCTCGACTTTAGACCGGCATGTTTAGACTAAAATTATTGTTGTGCTTTACAATGCACATCATGATTTCAGTTTCTTTCAATGAAGTATTTCCTATACGCAGATCCTATGTATTGTTGCATTCAATCTTGGAGTACATGGGTAACATTTCTGTGCAACACGCTCATACCCAGAGATCAAATTGAAGGAAAGCCACGAAGTGTCATTTTACTCGACCAATGTATGCCAACCTCCAAATTTCTGTACATATTTTTTTGTTATCAAACTGGTATGAAATCCTTTTTCCCGACCCTAGTATTTCGACAATGTGACCGACGCCAGTGGCGAATCTACGCGGGGAAGGGGGGGGGGGGGTGCTACATTCACCCCTTTGGGCCGCAAAAATTGAGTCCACAATAATCTTAACTCATAAAAAAATATTATAAACCAATAAGCCAAACGAAGTACGTTGACATTCCCTATAGATGCCCCCGAACTGATCATGGTGGCTCCCACTGATAAACAAATCTGAACCTCGCCAAAGAGGATGCATGCGTGAGTGCAAAGCAAAAGCATGTCGATGCCACGCATAAATTTTGAGATAATTCAGCTTTCTGAAAATGAAAAATGTACTACATGTCAATTTTATATCATAAAAAGATAAAGGATTCCACATTTGGGCACGGTTTTAGACAGAGAGAAAACAACCGACAAAAGTAAACTGTCAATAAATTGAAACATAAAGGAAGGCTTTAAGGGTTTTTCAAATCCTCGTTTGATTGCCAGACCAAACTGGCCTGGCCTGGGAGAGCCACTTGCGGGAATCGAACCTAGGACAATAGTTAAAGGGTAAGGGAAGAAAGTGCCCTGTACTGATTTGCAACAGTGATTTGGATTTATATCTGTCAGCAGAGTACCCCACACCAAAATGAGATAATAGTTTGTCGTGTTGTTTTATACACTCAACCAAAAAAGAAAGTCCCCCCTTCATACTTTTTTGTTTAACTCATAAACTATAGTGGGCACATCTTGTTACGAGTGATCAGCACAGAAATTACTTAGCAATCCAGCCACACTCTTTGTTTGGCCCAAAACAGTTATAATGCGTACACAATTATGCAATTTATGACAAATGGTACCGAAAAAAGTTGCACTTTTGTATACGTGCGAGGTGAGCGTGAACCACAATTTGCACGTATACAAAAGTGCAACTGTTTTCGGTATCATTTGTCATAAATGGCATACATTCGTACACATTATCGCTGTTTTGGGCCAAATAAAGAGTATGACTGGATTGCTATGGAATTTCTGTACTGATTAGTCGTTATTTGAGCGAAAGGTGCTCAGTATAGTTTTGGAGTTCAGCAAAAAAGTATTGGAAGGGGGGACTTACTTTTTTGGTTGAGTGTAATTTGTGGTACTTGATCGTGTGTAGGCCTACGATTCAACAGGTTGGCATGTAAGTTTTTGATCAGAATAACAATTATTGTGCCACAATGTTCAAAATGCCTATAATTAAGATTTTACTGCAAGGCGACGTCTAAACCGTCTTAACTTAACCGCCTGAAAACATACACCAAAACACCACCAGGGGTGCAAGTTCCCCCCCCCCCCCGGACACTCCACTGGGTACATCTTCAACCAACTAGATCCCCACCATGAAAAACAATACCAAATACCACCAATGCCTCCCCGTAATCCCAATCTACACGCATGACCACAACAGATGAGGAGGCGGAGGCAGATTTATATCAGACCCAAGTCCAAAAACCACTTTGAATAATGGAAACAATCATACACATCTCAACACGCGTGAAGGTTTATCACCCAGATAAACAAATAAAGACCCAACCACTTCATCCATAGGAACATATTCAAAGGTCTTGTCATATCGTGCGGTCGTTGTCCATACATTTTTTTTTTGCTCTTTTAATGATAAGGCCCGACCCGGCCCATACAGAGTGTGATGGTATTTTGTATCCTGCTTCAGACAAATCATCATCATCCCAGTAAACCAGCAAACGACAGGTTTCCTGAGGTATCCATTGATACTTCCTGTGCACCCGACCGACTACAGTCTGTGTATTGAATTATGATGATGCATGATGTATATATTCATCCATTCTTTTCCCCACACATGCCGCGATATATAGCTTAGGAGTTTGTGTGCAAGGCTGGCTTGGCTGACCTTGCTGGCTGGCTGAAAATACTCCTCCAACAGCGAGTTATAGCTCCGCAGTGGTAATCTGGAGTGCACTGTGCAAGTTGTCGTCATGTGATGTTGCAGTGTGGTTAAGGGGAGGACACCCATCAATCGCGCATGCGTGCCGCTCTACTCGTTTCCGCCTTGATGCGTTGGCAGGTCCATCCAGGGCAAATGATTGCGTGTTGAATGCAATGATAATCAGCTATTGGTACTACACGAGGCATTGCTAGGCAGCAAGGGACCGGGAGAAATACTGAGGCCAACACAAGATCCTGTCTGCAAAACTCGTCCCGGGGAGTTCAATAGGCTGAGACTCCACCGGCGTATCCTCTGCGGTGCATACATTATTCATGAGGTTGCACAGTAGAGCGTGACTGAGCGGCCACCACGCACACACTAAGCCAGACGGTGGGCCGGGGCCGCATCTCATCTTACTAGACCCCAGCTGCATCATCGTCATGTCTCGCCGCAAACAGGCCTTGCCAGCCCGGATAACAGGTAAGAATTTTCCCCTCAAAATTTTCCCAAAACGGTGCATCTCACTGACCGGTGATGCACACGTAGTATTCGTGTGTGATATGAAAACCGGGATGGAATCCAGTGCCCTGTAGCTGATAGTGATAGAGTTTAAATGGCCGACATCCTGTTCAAAGTTTGGACTGTGTTGAGTTAGCGCAGCAGCAAGCCACTAAGAGTTGCTCCGCGGGGCCACGGAGGGAGTGTGCGGTGATGACGTCGGCATGCAACAACCACAGTGCGATGGATTCAGTACATTGCGCGGTGTGTGTGTGGGTCTTTGTTGGTATGGAGAGGATGCAGCTATTAAAATGTTGATAAGCTGTGGTCGTAATTACCAACCGGGAGTAAACTCCAACTTCTTTTTCACCTTAAATCCCATCTTGGTCTGAGTCTGAGCCCGTGAGCCGAATCATTTTGGTAAGCTTACGGTGATGAGTGCGAGAGTTTGTGAGAGTTTGTCTTGTATTGTAATGAAGTTTGTGTGTTGGGGGGAAATGAAAACTTTATTGACGGGGTATCTCACCAGTTTCGCGGTGTGAAGTTATCAAAGTTGAGACGGGCAGTATGTGTGGCCAACTCGTGTGTAAGTTTTTTTATTCAGTGAACGGCCGTTGCCACGCGGCAGTCATTTTGTCTTTTTGCAACTTCCTGCCCGTGATGTGGTGCGGCATAGTGATGGTGCAGTGATGGAATGAATGGAATTGCTGTATGCTGGCTGTGTGCATGCTGGAGCTTTGCACGGCATCCGTCGTGTGTGCATCGGTCTGACCTCTTAAACTTCAGCGCTCCGTAGAAAATTGCTCTTTGCAAATGGCTCGCGCAACAAGTTGTCGGCCGGCTGCGAGAATGTTTTTACCTGGCGGGACCAGCGCTGCGCAGTCATGACCCAGGGCTAAAAAGGGTTTTATCTGCGCTTATAAAGTGATGGGATTCCTGAAGTTTTTGGTGAGTTTGGAAATTGGGGGCATGCTGTCTGGAAGAAAGGCATTTAATAGAAATGGGTGGGGCATTAAAAAAATTAGTTAACACGCTGGGAAGGGCGATCTTTATAAACACTGAATCCAGCGGTATTTTTTTTCCATAAATTTTCATGAGGACCTTTGTATAAACATGGAGGTAGAATAAAAGTTAAAACACCTTAAGACATACTTCTTTGCATGTGATTGTCATGCATGATGACAACCTCAGTGTTTCCATGTGGAGGATCTGTTTTTGGAGTTAGCCTATTTTTTTTCCTCGGGGTACTTTATGCTTTGTCATCAGTTATGAGCCAGTTGTGGAGCAAAGGGGACTTTGGGGCCTAGGACTTGGGGATTAAAGATTGAAGATTTAAATTACTTTGGCTGATGTGAAAAGCTCTTGGCAGTAAATGATCATGATGACACACAGGTCTTAAAACTTGGAGAGATATTCCTCTTTACGATACGCTGAGGAATATCATGCAGATTTATCATTTAGTTGGAGAGAACTGTTTAGTTGTTTATTAAGTTTGATGTTCAGTTGTGTTATATTTGTAATATCTTATAAGCAATTGAGTTTCAAGATAAAAAGTTGTAAAACATTGATTGTTTAAAAATGAAATCATGAAAACTTGGAGGAAGTTGAAGACAACACACAAATATCAAAAAGGGGATATTTACCCCTTTATATGGAGATAAGAGATTTAAGTGTTTTTTTGGGGGGGTAATTTAATGCTTTGTTAGCTTTAAAATTAATCTTCAGATTGCTAATTTTTACAAATGGAATGGTATGAGAAGATGATCAAGGAATGGTAAAAAAAGATGCAATATCCTTAAAAAATATATGAGCAAGGTTTGATGAGGATGCTTTTAATGTTAAATTCCATTTCATATTTTATGAATAATGATGCATCAATTGTTGTTTCCATGGTGCAAGTGCTAACTGCCTCAAACATCTGTGTACATCCGTAGAGCCTCTCACTTACCACCGGCCATTATATCTGGCAATCCAGCAGCAACTGGTAAACAGTTTGTAATTGTAATTCACTGGGGCATGTTGCTCAGCATCAAAAACATCTGTGCGTGCGTGTACACAACACACAGAGAGGTGATTCTAAAAAAAAAAAAAAAAGGGTGATGGAGAATGAGTAAAGCTGAGCCAAATTTAAGCCAACCGAGAAAAAAAATACCCAGAGACGAAGAGAGAAAAGAATTCAGGGACATGAGCAAGTTCTACACCTTGACCTGTTGCCATTGTTATCTTGGCATCGGAGCGTGCAAATACCGTCGTACTATCCACTGATGCATATTCAGATAGATCAGCATACACAAGCCAGGCTGGTTTTTTTTTTTTTTATACACACTTTGCTCCCGTGTGCCTGGTAGAGCAACCTTTGGGATTGTTGTTATTGATTTAGATCGGGAGGGCTCTTTTCATCGTGTTTGCCTCTCTTGCTCGCCGTCTCTGTGCATCAATGGCTCCGGCATACAGGGACTCGGGCAGAGAAAGAGAAAATGTAGTGAGGAGATTTTCAATGGCTGACCGAGCATCCTAGTTGCTGGTAGTTGTGCGCTGCGGCACTAGCGTACATTCTCCTCCGTTATGAGGAGGAAGTGTTTTTATTGTATGTGCGGTACAGATGGAGAGGTTGATGTTGAATGTTAATGTGTTTTTTTTATATGGATGGCTGAATGAACCATAATTTAAGTCCTTTGGGGGAATACATGTATACGTGACTGTTTAAACAGAAAAAAACTTTACACATGTTGACAAGAGAATAGAACTACATGTAAATGTTTGCTCTTTATTTATCTGAAGAGTTTTGTGAATTCAGTTACATGTACCTAACATTTTTTTTTTCAAATTTGGTTTGAAACCTTAAGGATTATTTATTGGATGAACTCACTTTGTGACTTTCATTTGACTACCTGCCATCCAGAAGGATTTACAAGATATGTAACTTTAATTTATCTTTTTCTGTTTGTTTTCTTTTCTATTGGCTTATCATTAAGAAAACCATAAAGAGGAAAACCATCCCTTTTTTTTTAAAGTCAGAACATTTTCTTTTGTTTGTTTTTGTCAAAATTTTTGTGTTTGTTTGTGTTGTTTGTGGCAGTGATCTAAATTTTTCTTTGTGTGTGTGTGTGTGGATAAGACTTTCCTTGTCATCTTCCAGTTAGCAGCGTAAGTCTGTCTTTAGTCTACCACGTATCTTCAATCAACTTTGATTTTTTTTCTTCTTACGATGAGTAATAATGGACAGGAAATAAGGGTCCTGTGGTGTTGCCATGGCAGCAAGTAAATTTTTGAGGATACTGCCGCTGATTTGTTCGGGAGTGATTGCTCTGGAGAGCAAGTAAGTTCTGAAAACTCTTGTCGAGATGTCAAGGAAGTTTCTAGAGAATGATTCTCACTCGGTTGCGCTGTTAACTTTGTTGAGTCAGATTCTTATGATTCAAGTGGAGTTAAAGCCCGTGAGTCCCCCCCCCCCCCCGAAAAAACTAGGATGCACTGTACACTGCCTTGTAAATCCTCCCAGCTAGATTACCATGGCCTCCGTGATTCAATTATGATTCATCCCGAGATGTTGATTGTCTGCCCTCTAACCTAGCTGTTTCCAAGCCTACTGGCACAGACGCAGCGATACAAACACCGCCACAGTCTCTGTGTACCCATGCAGTGTGGAGACCTCGAAAGAGGAGTTGCCGTGTGGAGAGGCCACAAAGAAAGGGGGAAAAAAAATACAAACACTTCCAAAGTTCAGTGTCTAGAGTATCTTGTTGTGGCCATTACCAGGTGCATTGTGCAAACAAGTTATCTTTGTTGTGAGGCCGGTACAGTACGCTTGATTTGGTCCTGATCCACCGGTGTGGGTCTGTACTAAGGGAAAAAAACAAAATTGGGCTGTGTGTTTGGAAACATGGAAGTAAAGTAGCAATTGTGTGGTGTCATGGGGCTGTGGAGCATGGAGACAAGGAAATGGTCTTCATGTATGATTGGATGGATATCAGGAAACTATGGAGTTGGTTGTTAAAGTTTCTAGTAAGAAATATTGAGTGGGTTCTCGGTAACCTTGGATAATGCCCTGGAATGCGAGTTGGTTTGATTTATTTTGGGTGTGGTTCTGTAAGATATTTAGGGGACGTCCAAGAATTTGTGAACATCTCTGCAAATTTCCAACTGTCATAACACTTTATAAATATGTAATTACTAAAAAGTGTTTTTGTTTCTAAAAATACTTGCCTATCTTTTTAAATGCATAGCAAGCCTGTTTTGCCCCCCCCCCCCCCAAAAAAAAACCAACGTTCTTAGTTTTTATGTCCAGCTTAAAACAGAAACCGGGAAAAATGTTGCAACCTGACGCCACTTTTTTCTTCATATATCATCTCAATGAAGGTCATTCATTGCAGAAATGATGATAAGACATGAATCTGGGACTGAGAAATATTTCAAATCTTGTTAAGAAATACTTGGAAAATTTTCTTGACTCTCCATAGACTTTGTACACAATCACGGAAGTGGCGTCAGGTTGCAACATTTTTTTCCCAGAAACCAGCCCATCAAGGGCTAATGTTTCTGCACTTTGTCAGTCCTCATCACATATCATCTGCCCCACCTAGCCCCTTTCCCTCATGCTAGCAAAGACAACCCTAAATTATCACTCACAAGAGAAATACACGTTACTAGCATACAGGAAAACATGGTAGACAATCTCCCGCATCCTGTGTGCATAAGAGCTAATATTCTAAGATTAACCACTTCAGTTGATGACTCTGTCAATTATTTATTACATGTGATTAACATTCCAGGTGTGAAATTATCTTTAGTGAAGTGTTAGTGAACACAATGAAGAGGTTTTTTTTTTTACATTGACTTTAACCTTAATGAGTTTTAAGTGGGCTTGAAAGAGAAGTACTTGAACTGGGAAGGAGGAGCAGTTTTCAGAAGGAATTAATTTACAACCCTCCCACCCTAAAAAAAAGACGCTTTTGTAAGTTATAGTTTTTTATCATATGCTC